ATTAGGGCATTTTAAATTTCAATCAAGTAATTATTCTTTCTAAGGTCTTGGTTGAGATAAAAAAAATCAGTGTCACGAGCGGGATTCGAACCGACGACCTTCGGCTTGATACGCCGCTACTGTGCCACTAGAGCTATCGTGACCTCGATCCTCTCGGACACCAACTCTCCATCTTAACCTACAACCGTTCGAATTTTCCCTCTTTTTGCCATTTTCAAGATGGCAAAAACGAAGTCGTGGGTTCGAATCCCGCTCGTGACACTGACTTTTTTATCTCAACCAAGACCTCAAAAGAATAGTTAATTGATTGAAAGAAGTAACTTGGTCAATTGACTACGAAAACGTAAATGGAATGATATTTTAAATTATTTTCTATCTATGTAATAGCTTTAAAAAAACAAATCACTCGGGTTTATGTACACCATTAGGGTAAATTCTACGTTTGTACTTTGGAAGGTTCTTTTAAAAAATACTTTATCAATAATTGAACGATTCTGAAGCTCCCAAGCTTTTCATTACTGTAGGTAGAGATAACAATGATGGCATTCAACGTCAGCTTATGCTCCCCCATTTTCTCAAAGATCGATTTGCGCCTATTGCATCGATAATAATTATGTTTTTTATGTGCAATAACATTGTCTATTATTATGTGCTTCTTTCCTTCTTTTTCTCATATTGTACTCCCCTAGGCCGATTTTAAATTAAATACATATACAAGGTTTTGGTTGAGATAAAAAAGACAGTGACACAAGCGGGATTCGAACCCACGACCTTCGGCGCAATACGCCGCTACTCTGCCACTTGCGCTATCGTGACTTCGATCCACTCGGACACTAACTTCCCATTAAATACAATTAAATTGTCTACATATCTATCCATTCAATCCATCAAGTTGAATATCTGTTTGTTTCCTTTGTTATTATTTTCTATTGGACTTGAAATGAAGTTTCAAAAAGAATAGAAGAATGAATTAAAATATAAAATCGTTCAGACCCTCTGAAAAGGGATTAGTTAAGGTTGTTTTACTCGTCAGTTTCGATCTTGAATTTTTACATATTTTGCCCACTTAAAATGGAAGGAAAAAATAGCAATAAATGGTACCTCGAAAGGAAAAACCGCAGCTCAGACTTGTAGGAAAATGCCGTATGGTGATGATGCTTTAGGAGAAAACACTGTCTGTAAGTGGTTTGTTCGGTTCAGAAGGGAAAATTTCGATTTGAAAGACACAAAGCCTGAACGACCTTAAACCGTTGATGATGATCAAATTCAAGCTTCTGTCACTAATCACACACATCAACGATACGAGACATCGCAGACATATACAAGCTTTTCAACGCATCTGAGAACAGCCGGATATGTCTGTCGGAGCGAAAATGAAATTTGGACTGAGAATATTTATTGGGCCTTCATCTACGATTCCCTCTTAAAAGGCAATGTAAACGACCCGTTAAAAAAATTGATATCTGCTAATGAAAAGTGGGTCTTTTAAAACAATTAAGAAAGGGAAATCCTGAGGAAAACGCAGCGTTTCACTCCAAAGCCGGATTACATGCCAAGAAGATAATGTTGTGCATGGGTGCTTTATTATAAGCTTCTTCTGCTCAACCAAACCGTTACTTCTACTGTATACTGCACACAACTGGAGCAATTTATTTCAGCAATTGACCAAAAATTACCAGCAATGGCTAGCGGGCCGTTTTCTACCAGGGTCACGCTCCAGGTGTCTTCGCAGGTGTACCAGAAATTGTTGAATATTGGGAATTTGCTACCCCCGCCCATATTAGCCTGACATTACTCCTGCAATTGCACTTTTAACTAAAAACCATATAAATCTTTAATTAATACAATGTTTAATGACTAAAATTACATGTCTTCCGATCAATTTTTTTCTTCAATTAGGAACACCCAGAGATCCTTAAGTAGTGACTGGTCGATAAGAGTTTATCAAACCCAGAACCTGAATTAGTCAGAGGACGAAAACAAGTGACACACCAGACATTTTTTTTGTTGTTTTTATGGTAAAAAATATCTTTCAGTAGTAAGGTTGTAAACTCCGGCAGAGTTAGTCGGCAGAGTCTGAAGAAAAGGTAAATTACCGTCCCGAAACACAGTAAAAACATACAATCAAAAAGGTTAAATTGCTGCATTAAAAAAAAAAACAACTACAAGTAAGAAAATAACCAACCAACAAAGAAGAGCTAAAAAATATCTTTCAGGAACTCTATATACATTTTCAATCTGTAAAATGTTGTTTTCTTTGATAGTTTTATTTACTTTTTTTTAGGTTTTGATTAGATTTGAACGAAAGTAAATCGTTTCCGGAGCACCCTGACAAATATATGTTATAGCGGAAGATACTGAAACTGAAAATTTTAATTGAATTTTATGATTTATAAATCTTAAAATTAAGTCTTCCCATAAAACAAATTTTATATTTTCTAAACAGGAAAACAATACATAATAATTAATTAAATGCAAATATTAATTACAATTGCATTTATTGTGATAATTGTTTTCAATTTTTTGTATGTAAATAATTTATTTTGCCTATAAATTTTATGCATTTTTATAAAATTCCAAGGGTTACCTTACAATATTTTTTCAACGTCAGCTGGGTTTTGTTTTTTGACATAATAGTCTTGAATGGAATTTTTAAAAAATCGTCAAGTTAAACAAACTATTGTTATATTTTATTTTATTTATTAAACTAGAAGTGTTATTTTTATCAAAAAAGTGTTCAGACGTATTTAAGTGAATCCTATAGAATTAAATAATCGTAAAATACCAATAGCAAATTAAATTATATTTCTTTCTGTTGACTACGGAGTGATGAATCTATAATTCGGACGTTACCGATCATTTTGGTCCGCCTAACCTGGCTGGGTTGGTTTGTCGGACGCGTTTCGGCATTTTGCCATCCTCAGCGGCGTAAATTTTCATTGAACTACTCGGTTTTTGTAACATGAACTGCGTTGGTGACTTCGAAATTATTCAAAATGGTTGGACCAAAGCGCTAGTTTAGGTTAAAAAAAAAAACAGGCTAAACCGTGGTACTCTTTGTCACCTGTTACGGTAACACTGTAATTGGAACGGCTTGTGGTTCAAATGCAGTGTATTAACTGGAACTGCGTTGGCGACTTTTTAGTCATCTAGCACAATTCTAGAGAATGCAAGCTGAAAATTTAAACAGATCATTCGTTAGTATTGATGACGAACCTAATTTTTGTAATTAATTAATATTTATGAAATGTATTGGTTAAGACAAAAAAGACAGTGTCACGAGCGGGATTCGAACTCACGACCTTCGGCTAAATACTAACTAACTTCCCATCTCAACATCACCTCTCGAATTTTTCCTCCTTTTTGCCATTTTTCAAATGTCGTGTGATTGATTCTTAGCGACAAATGAAATGTCCACGGAGAGCTGAAGAGTTTAATTATTAAATCCATTATAGTTCGTGGTCCGATTGACCAATTAACATTTTTCAATTAATTAATATTTATCTTAACCAATACCTTTCATAAATATTAATTAATTGAAAAATGTTAGTTGGTCAATCGGACCACGAAACATAATGGATTTAAAAAGTAAAACGAAGTATATCTTCACGAAAGCTCTCCTTGGCCATTTCATTTGTAGCCGAGAATCAAATAGATTACACGACATTTGAAAAAGTCAAAAAGAGAAAATTCGAGAGGTGAGGTTGAGATGGGAAATTAGTGTCGGAGCGGATCGAAGTCGCGATAGCTCAAGTGATAGAGCAGCGGCGTATTTAGCCGAAGGTCGTGGGTTCGAATCCCGCTCGTGACACTGACTTTTTAATCTATAATGGATAAATCTAATCTGGCTAGATCTAGCTATAATGGGTTTAATATTTAAACTCTTAAACTCTCCTTGGCCATTTCATTTGTCGCCGAGGATCAAATAGATTACACATTTGAAAAAGTCAAAAAGGAGAGAAAATTCGAGAGGTGAGGTTGAGATGGGAAGTTGGTGTCCGAGTGGATCGAAGTCGCGATAGCTCAAGTGGTAGAACAGAGGCGTATTTAGCCGAAGGTCGTGGGTTCGAATCCCGCTCGTGACACTGACTTTTTTAATCTATAATGGATAAATCTAATCTGGCTAGATCTAGCTATAATGGATTTAATATTTAAACTCTTAAACTCTCCTTGGCCATTTCATTTGTCGCCGAGGATCAAATAGATTACACGACATTTGAAAAAGTCAAAAAGAGAAAATTCGAGAGGTGAGGTTGAGATGGGAAGTTAGTGTCGGAGCGGATCGAGGTCACGACAGTGCAAGTGGTAGAGCAGCGGCGTATCTAGCCGGCCGAAGATCGTGGGTTCGAATCCCGCTCGTGACACTGACTTTTTTATCTTAACCAATACCTTTCATAAATATTAACTAATTAAAAAATGTTAATTAGTCAATCGGACCACTAACTGTAATGGATTTACTAATTTTTGTAGTAATTTTTGGACTATCATACCAACCCAGCAGAGTATAGACGAAATAATCGGTAATGATTGGTCTCGACCAAATTATTCATGTTAGAAAATTCCCATGTATTTTGTACCATTTTATTAATCAAATCAGTGTGGAAATGTCAAACGCTCTAATATTTAACTGTCTAAAAACCTTTCATAAAACGCCATGCTGCAACATTTTTATGCGATAACATTTGTGAATATTTAAGTAGAAGAAGGAATATAATAAATCTGAGACCTGTTCTATACCAGCCTAACGATCCTGTAAAAAAAATTTACAGCGTACTGATTGAAAGCTTAAGTTGATATATAAGTTAATTCATTCCTAAAGGACTTAACGAAACATATTTTGGCATTGGATTCATACATAGATTTCTACCAGTTCAACTTTACTGTTTCCCCTCTTCTCCCCTTTTCATTATTATTTTTTCTTCAGGGCCTAACAGACCATGTTTATTATCAAAAGTGGGGAAGATCTCGAAGTAAAAAAACGCCTATGGGGAAGGGGCCGAGGGGAGGCGAGATAAATGGAGTATAAATTGGGTTTCGTCCGTCCAGAGGGTACCAGTACCAGGATGAAGGTAGCACTGCTCGTATTCGCCCTGGTTGCAGCGGCGCAATCCTCCGTCGTTCCCGTGAACACCGAGGAAAAAGTCGGTAAGTTGAATTTTCTCAAAAAATTAATTTCAAAAATAATTAACTGTACAACTCAACTTAAGAGAAAAAAAATTAATACTCTTAACAAGAATACAAATTTTTTAATAAGCCTTTGGAATGCTTATTTATAATTTTTAAAAATAATTTATTAGCTGTATACTATAATATACAATATAAATTGTTAAACAAATATAAACAATTTAGAAGAATTGACTAGAAATAACAATTTTTGAGACATGACAAAGGATTGAAAATAAGGATTGAATATCTACTTTAGCCTGTTCAACTAAATTTTTTATGTTTTTTGAGAAATAAATTTTTGCCTAAAGTTAACGCTAAGTATTTAACACTTTCTGGCCAATTTATTTCACAATCATCGATGGTCGATCTTTAATAACAGGACGCCTTCTTCTGAAGAGAATCGTTTCAGTTTTCTCTACATTGATTTTGAGCTTTTGAGCTTATTTTATGCCGGGATTCGTACATATTTTTAACATTCCTAGATAGCAATCTTTTGGGTGGACTATGGGCTTTAAACACAAAAAAAAAGAATAGGGCAATCAAAAATGACCATGGGGGCACTCCAGCTATCCAGGGCAGGATAGACAGAAAACAGATCAGGAAGAAGGGATATTTGCAAACAACAGTTCCATACCACTCTCTCTCACTCCTTAATACAATCTTTCCAATTTATGCCAATTTCTCCCAAAGAAACACAAGACCAGAATAAAGTACTGAAGAAGTGTGTGTGTGTGTGTGTGTGTGTGTTGTGTCAATTTCACATAGTTATGTAATATGAAGTTTTTGCCTCTGAATAAAGTTTTTTTATTGATTTGATTTTATGTTTAGAGACTATTCCACATACACTTATTTAGTTTGGGAAGAAAATCATTTAGTTCTAAGGGTTTATTTTTTTAATAAAATTAGCATTTAGTCCAAAAATGAAGTATTTCCTATATACTTCGATATAAAAAATATTTTGAAATAGGATCTGAAACATGAATTTTCTTCTAATGAATTTTACCGCATTAAATTGTTGTAACAAAAGCTCTATTTGTTGTAGCTGATGCTGAGTTTTTGAAAAGACAAAAACAAGTCCTTGATTTGTACGTGGGACTACCAAACTATGATGCTTTTGAGAATGAGTTTTCCAAATATGAATTCCCTGTTGAGGATTTCACTGTATGTAAATTTTCTAAATTGTGATATTAGTAAGTATTCAGTACTAATTTACATTGTTTTTAGGACCCTCATGTGGTTGAGCGTTTATTTGAAGTAGTGAAACATGGTTTTCTACCGAAAAAAGCTGTCTTTTCACTAAACTGCCACCACACTCTTTATGAAACGGTCAGCCTTTTCGATGTGTTTTTCTTCGCCAAGGACTTCGACACGTTTTACAAGGCGGCTTCTTGGGCCAGAGCGCACGTTAACCCCGCGCAATTTTGTTACGCATACTCCTTAGCCCTTGTACACAGGGACGATTGCCACGACTACGAACTTCCTCCGTTCTATGAGGTTTTCCCTCACTATTTCGCACCACATCACGTCGTCGACGATCTCTACAACGACGTCCTTCTCGGAGTAAAAGAAAAGAAATACGAATACAACAACACCGGCTATGAATTCAACTACCATTCTGGAATGTTCGGCGGGCCGCTTAGCCTCGATGCCTACAGCCCCCATCTTGAATACAAAGTCAGCTACTTCAGAGAAGATGTGGGTGCGAACGCTTTCTACGCGATGTGGCATCTCCAATTCCCACCATGGTTTTGCCCAAAGAAGTACCATAAGTCCCACTGGTTCAAGGAAGGCGAGACTTTCTACTATCTTCACCAACAACTCTTCGCACGTTACACAGTCGAAAGGTTGGCCAACGGTCTGCCCTACGTCGAACCGCTCTACTGGGAAAAGCCGCTTAAGACTGGCTACAACCCAAGGGTCACCCATTTCAACAGAGTTCCTTTCTACACCAGACCTGACGACGTGGTACCCAAACAATTGAACAAATTTCTTGTACACAAAGCGCAAGTTTATGAAGAACGACTTTACGATGTTGTCCACGGAATTTCCTTGTGGCCAGAAGTAAGTTTACACAATTCCATCGGTTCTTCAACCTTCAAGCAATTATTTCATGAATTCTGATTAGGATAGCCACAACCTGACTTTCTTGAACAATGAAGAAGGAACTGACTTGCTCGGTAAATTGGTTTACGGTGCTTCCACCAAGGAACATAAGGATTATTTCGGTCAATTCTGGCACACATCCTTGAACGCCCTGGGCTATGTCGTAAAGACCAGCAATGACCGCAATGTAACTACAACGAATTTCGATAATTATTTTTAATGATGTAATTCTGGACTAGATATTCAATATTTTGTTTTTAGTACGTTGGCGGAGCTTTGACCTCACCACTTACTTCACTAAGGGACCCTGCCTTTTATAATTTCCTCAATCGTGTGGTCAAGTTGTTTCAATCGCAAAAGAAGAAGTTCCACCCATACATGAAGAAAGACGTAAGAAATTCGTTTTTATAAATTACACCCTGAATCAAAATATCAAGTAATTTGATGTGTCTATCTTCCCTGGTTTGTTCTGTGAGACCAAAAATGTAAAACGATCAAATCACCCCTCAGAACACATTGAGAAATTTCACAAAATGCTAATGGTTTAAATTTTCAGCTTGACTTCCCTGGAGTTGATGTCGAAGACTTCCATGTAGATGAACTTGTGACTTACTTCGACCATTTTGATTACGAAGTCACCAACGCCGTTCCGGTTAGAAAAGCCGATGACTACAAGACACTACACTTTTCTGCAACCCAATACAGGTTAAACCACAAGCCGTTCCATTACAACGTTACCGTAAAAAGTGACAAAGAGCACTACGGTATGGTCAAAGTTTTCTTAGGGCCTAAATACGATTCATTGGGACACGAATTGAACCTTGAACAAAAAAGACTGGCCTTATACGAGCTCGACAGGTTCCCAGTTAACCGTAAGTATCCTTTGATTTTCACCTAATCGATATCGCACTGTACAATTTATAAAATTCTAGTTGTTCCCGGCGTTAACGTGCTGACACGTAGTTCAAAAGAATCACCGTTCTTTACTGAAGATAAGGAAAGCTTCAGACAAATGTACAATAGACTTGAAAGGGCAATGGAAGGCAAAGAAACATTCCATGTCAAGAAGGTAATTATTAAAATTTTAAAAAATTAAAAAGAAAGAAACTAACGTTAACTAATTTTACAGTGTCACTGTGGAGTACCTGACAGGTTCCAGCTCCCGGTTGGAACCCAGAGCGGACATCCTTACTCCGTCTACGTAGTCGTCACCCCGGTCGAAAAGACATTAGAGGTACACGACGGCAAAAAATTCTACCTGGCCTGCGGATCGCCTAAGCTTTACGATTCCCGTCCTTTCGGTTTCCCGTTCGACAGGCCCGTCCACGAACATGAATTCCACTTGGACAACTTGTACCACAAAGACGTTCTAGTCTTCCACAGAACTGAGCACGAAGTCAACCGTGTCTTATAAATAAAACATTAAGCTTGATTTTATACTGTATTGTTGTTCAATGTATAAATTCAAAATTAATTAAAATCAAATTAAAAAGACTACAAAAATAATCGTACAAAACATTTGACAAAATGGGAAATTAATTGTAAACATAAAATTCAATGTAACAAGATTAGCATAAATAAAATATCAAAAAGAGTAAACTGTACCGATAATTATTTATAAACAAACCCTAATAACTACAAGGTTTATTGAGAAATAACTGAGAGGAAAATACAGTCAGCTTACATCGTTTATTTTCTTACGATCTTTACTGTATTTTACTTTTGTGGCTTGAGTTTTGGTTGGCCAATAATTAGATTATTCAGAAATTAAGTTTAGAAAAAGTTAAGTTTATTTAGATTAAAGAAAATATAAATGAACTTAAAAATAGCCAATCAAACAGAAGTCTTTCTTCAAAACTTTTTAGCGATAAGGTGGAGATACTAAACCCTCAACGCTGAAAAGAATTGCAGAATGGAAGCTATTGTTTTTGTTGTTTTAATATACAAGTCCGAAGCATAAAATACCAGGGGGGGCCAACCTGCGACTCTTTGAAGGATTATTTGTGGCTCTCGATAAATGTATCCGAGTTCCCTTTTCATTTATGTGCTATTATATTTTTAAAAATTATTATCGTTCCGTATGTGTTTCAAAATGTTTTTTAAATCGACAGATATCACAGATCTTCCGCAATTGGCAGTTTTCATACGTTTTGTTTCACCTGAGTTCGTTGTTAAAGAAGAATTATTAGATTTAGTAGCACTTCAAGAGTCAACCCGTGGTGTCGATATTAAAAATGCATTAGATTCCATAATGAAAACTTTTGATGTGCCTCTTAATAAACTTGTAAGCATTGCAACTGATGGAGCTCCGGCAATGCTGGGTAAAAAAATCGGTCTTATTGGGCTTTTAAGAGATGATTCTCAAATTCCACAATTCATACCGATTCACTGCATAATTCACCGAGAACATCTCGTTACAAAATATTTAAAATATCCTGATGTTATGAAAACAGTGTTACACATTGTAAATTACATTCGCACCAATGCAAAAAATCATCGACAATTCAAAAATTTCCTTGAAGAATTAAAGGACGAAGAACTTCCAAATGACATTAATTTCTTTTGCATTGTTAGATGGTTATCTAGCTACAACGTATTAAATCGTTTTGTAGATTTGTTTGATCCGATAACTGCATTTCTAAAAGAAAAGGAAATAACCTATTCAGAATTAGACGATGACGAGTGGTTACAAGACTTAATGTTTTTGACTGATGTCATGTAACTTTTGCAAACACTGAATTTACAATTGCAGGGGAAAGATAAAATAATATCTGACCTCTCACAGTGTATATTTAGTTTTCAAACTAAATTACAACTTTTTCAAAAGGACATTAAAAATAAAACATTTTGTCATTTTCCTCGAATTAAAAAAATTTGTTCCAATATTAAACAAGAAAAACTCAACGAGTATATAAAAAAGCTAGAAGGAATATTGACGGAATTCCAAAATAGATTTCAAGACTTGAAATATTTTAAATCGTCTCTTGATTTTTTTCTGAATCCATTTGAAATTAACATAATTCAAGGTGAGTTTTCCATTTCCAATATAATTATGACCCAAAAAGCATCTGGAGAATTAGAATTAATAGAGATTTAAGAAGATCAAGCTCTACAATTAAAATATAAGTCGACGTCGATTACTAAATTTTCGAAATTTGTACCAGAATCGAAGTATCCTGAATTAAAAAGGCTGCTTGTCGAATTATTTCAATATTCAGAACAACTTACTTATGTGAATCATTTTATTCCACTTTAAAATTCGTGAAATCCAAACACCAATCAGTCAGTCAACTAACCAGCATCTCAAAGAATTACTGAGAAGTGCTGTCACCAATTATTCACCAAATTTTAAAGAATTATCAAGAGAAGTAAAATATGTTTAATTTTTAATATTTAAATCCAATACACATATTTAGTACTTTTATTTATATGTTTTCAATAAATATAATTTCTGTAAAAAAAAATTTTAATACCTTTTTTGCATACCTTTTAAATACGTATTTAATTGCGGCTCATGAAAAATTTCAAATTTTGAAAAATGGCTCGGACTATCAAGGAGCTTGGCCACCCCTGATATATACAATGAAAATTTCTGGCATGTATTGTAAACAATGTATGAACCATTTTGTTCTACTATGATTTGCCATCTTCCAATTTTGTAATTTTATTCTCCCTGACTTCTCAGGTTATTGAACGATCAACTCCTCAATGATGTGTTTATGTAGTACTCTAATAAAATAAAGTTCCCTCTAATAAAGTTATGCATTGCCAGGAATAGGTGAAAATCTGAAGGGATCTATTGGAGTTAATGGTCGCTGTTTTTCTCAGGATTTTCCAAGATACTTGTCAGAATGTTCCCAATATGTAAGTTTGTGATATATTTTCTGTCCCTTGCCTACCTTCTAAGGTGTATCTCAAGGTTCCATCCCCGGCTCTCTTCTTTTCTCAGTTTTTTCATAACATTGCCCACCTGGTGTGAAAATTGCTCTATAGAAATATTGAACTATCAAATATGAATATTTTATATAAAAGTCCGTAGCATTTTTTGATAGTAAATTCAATGAAAATTCCAGGTAATTGTGTACAATATATGAACCATTTTGTTCCCCTATGTCTTGGAATCTTCTATATAATTTTGTGATTCCGTCTTCTGCAAGCATTTCAGGTTTTTGCGTGACGAACTCCTTGATAATGTGTTTTCTGCAGATTCTAGTAATGTAAAATTTTCCCCATTAATTCAGTTTCACAGTGCAGGAATAAATTACAATTTGAAGGGATCTTTTGGCGTTTTGGGTGGGTGGCTGCTTTTCCACAGAATTTTTCAAGTTATTTGACCAAGCGCACCATTACATAAAGTTTTAAACTGTCTGTCCTTTCTCAGCTTCATAAGGTGTACCTCAAAGTTCAATCCTTGGCCTTTTATTTTTCTCAACTTTCATTACCATTGCCTCTTAACTCACTTAACTCTGTCTTAACTAGTCACCTTTCTTACATTTGCAGACCACTCAAAATATTTCACTCTATTTTATGAATTTCTTCTTCAATCCTCACTTGAAAAGCTTTCTTGTGTAAAAATTTCTCTAAACTCAAACATTGTCACAAAATTCTTTCTGCAGAAAACAAACATCTGTAGAATATAGCCATTCATTGATGAACAATCTCTCGACTGTTTAACAACAATGAAAATATTAGGAATACTTTCAATTAATTAAGGTTTTTAGTTGGGATAAAAAAGTCAATGGCACGAGCAGGATTCAAACCCACGATCTTCGGCTTGATACGCCGCTGCTCTACCACTTGAGCTCTTGTGACTTCGATCCACATGGACACTAACTTCCCATCTTAACCCCACCTTTTGAATTTTCCCTCCTTTTTGCCATTTTTATCTCAACTAAAAATCTTAATTAATTGAAAGGTATTAATTGGACAAGCGGACCATGAAAACTAGTGAATTTAATAAGTTAAAATGACGTATACCTTCACTAAAGCTCTCCGAAGCCTTTCATTTGTCGCCGAGAATCAAAGATTATACATTTGAAAAATGGCAAAAAGGAAGGAAAATTCAAAAAGTGGAGTAGCCGAAGATCGTGGGTTTGAATCCCGCTCGTAACACTGACTTTTTTATCTCAACTAAAAACCTTAATTAATTGAGAGATGTTAATTGGTCAAGCAGATCACGAAAACTAGTGAATTAGGAAATCTACTGGGTCACAAAACAAGTTTGTACCCTTTGTTCATAGTAAATTCAATGAAAATTTCCCAAACTTGTGGACAAATTAAACCCAATTTAACTTCCGCTATTTGTTGCCATCTTCCATGGTTTTTTAATTTTATAATTTCATCCTCCCAGAATCTCTCAGGTTTTTCCGCTCTGAACTCCTCAATGTGTTGTCCGCAGTCCTCTAGTGAAGTAGTTTTCCTTATTAATGGAGTTTTGCAGAACCCAGAATAAGTGAAGTGACGTCAGGCCAATACGGGGTGGGTAGGACATGCTAGCCAGGCTACAACAATTTCTGGTCTGTCTGCAGGCACATGGGGCGAGCATTATCCTGATAGAAAATAATCCTCTTGCAATTAGTCAATACCAGTCGTTTTGGTCAATTACTTAATTTAATCACTCTAATTGTGTGCAGTATACAGTAGAATTAACATTTTGGTTGGGCTCATAATAAAACACCCCCTTCCAATAGTAAAGTGTCATCATACATCACCATACACATCACAAATTTTTGAGCAGTCTGAGCTGTTTTGCAGGAATTTAAAAAGAAAAAATGTACATATAAATTAAATGAAAAATATTTTCTCTACATTTTAAATTAGAAAACACCTTGTAAAAATACGAGATCTCACCTTAACTAATTGTTATCATGTTAGCAATAATGACTAAATAAACACTTTTTCAAAATAGGATTATTGAAAAACACTACCCAACCTTTTTTTACAGGCCAATTCATTACAAAATTCTTTTTTTGCTTCATTTTCAATTTATGTACGATACTGAGACTGGACCTTCAGCTATGTGGTATATCTCTTCTTTCAAAGGCACCCACTTTCCATCTTTTCATGCCTCCATGGACCCAGTGATTATCACTGATTAACACACCCTACATTACTTCTAGCTATACTTATTTTATGGAACTGAAGGGTCCAGAGGAAAAATGATGAGGTTCCATTTTTTTCAACATTTGAGAAACACTAAATTTAAAGTTTCATGACTACTGGTGAAATAGTTTCTTTTTTGGGGTTTGATTCAATAATTGTCATAACATTTAGAGATCTTTCTGAGTTATTCTCATGATCCAAAAACCATTAAACCCTCATTTCAAACCCAGGAACGAATAAGAAAATATCATGATTACGAAATTTCATTTTTTTTCTTTTTTTTCCCGGAGGGGGGGCCATTTCAGCCCCCTGTCACTGCACTGTTATGGCCGATGGGATACTCAATATTCCACCATCAGCCCTACAGTCTAAAAGACAAATAAAACTCTTACAACAAACAAATAAATAAATTACTTATAAATAAATACATGACATAATAAAACACAACACAGATACACTTATTTACACAGATATTCACGTTTTATACACTATTTACAAGTGAGGAAACACCCCCGTTTCTCTTAAAAAGCAGAATAGGGGATCCAACATTTTACTTGCTCGCCCGAGTACCGTTTTTATGTCGGGGTTCATGCCTACTCGCTCCCTGTAGGGGGCCAAGGCATGGTATTCCTAGACAAGATGAGACACACTGAGCAACATTTCTCTACAAGCGGGACACCTGCGAGGATTTTGACCCAGAAGCAGATGTCTGTGTGTCAGGCGGGTATGGCCAATACTCAACCGAGTTAACCCGATCCTTTCATTTCGTTTCAGACTCTCATGAGGCCATCGTTCAGTCGTGCCCTTAACTCGCAGGAGCTTCTCGGATGACCCGGCCCACTTACGCTGCCAACGCTTTCCCACAGTGTTCTTTACTGCTCACCCAGCGTCACCGGGCCGGATCGCGGTGGCATGGTCTGGAGGGCGAGACGTCCCAGCTTTCGCTGCCTCGTCTGCACATTCGTTGCCCTCCAGCCCGACATGAGATTTCATTATTAATTTCAAAGATGAAGACACGTGAAACGAAAATTCTGAAATATCTATAGTCAAAATTTTAGATTAATTATGTTAAAAGTTAAAAAGCTCTAAGTTAAAAAGTTTTACGTTACTCATCGTCTACCTGATAATCAAAATAAACATCACCCTGAGTTTCTGTGGTAGTTCTATCTGTGACCAAATTATCGTAAAACCTTCTGGCAACTTTGTTGGTGAGAAATGTTGTCAGATGTTGCAAGTCATTATATTTTTCCAAATTAATAGGAAGGGACCCATCGTAGAGTTACGAAGCTGCTGTTTTGGTGCGGGGTTCTTCCCCTTTTTTTGCCTTCGTGGCACCAACATGTTGTGCTTATTATAAGCTCCACAGAATGAAGTGCGGTGGTGAATATACTGTGGTGTGTAAGAGATCTAACATCGAATTGTTCTTGTGGAGATGGGACATTTTGGTTTGTACATCAGTACTAAGTAATTCATCTACAATTCTCCAGATACCTATGGCCACAGATGGGAAAGAAAACTTTTACACAACATATTCTCCCTTTTTCTGTTGCGAGATGGTGAAGGAATCGCAGAACTGTATAATTTTTATTTTGCCCTGCACATGAGTCACAAAAAATTATAAGCGTTCTGACTGCTTTTGGAAGAATTTTTAAATGCCGGAGAGATGGATCCTCATCGTTCTTCCTTAGGCGCACAGGAGTCCCATCATTCTTCCACTGTGCTGCCCATTTTCAAACACGATTTTTAGTGGAATCTAGTTGGTTTTCCCTAGCCACATTTGTCGGGTTAATAGTTAATGTCACAAGCCAACAGATGCCGGTGAAATATCGATTCTGACAAAAAATGGACTCCCATCGTTTTTCATCTGTGCCCTTCATACTTAACAACCAGTTATTGTTTTTATTTCCAACATTGTATATGTATATTTCGGAACTACCACATCCCCTCCTGAGCGATAACTTTTCCCGAGTCTGGAAGACCCATTGGGTGTTGCAGGTGGGCCAGGATTCGAACCCAGAACTGCAGCAAATACAAGTCAGATGCCCTAATCGCTCAGCCATTGTGGTCTTCTTATTTTCATTTGTGGTAAAACATTATCAGCTATTATATTAGAAGAATGACAATCATATATAAAAAAATGAAATAATAACATAAAAAGTAGGAGGTTAAATAAAACCAAATTCATTTATGTAGTGAAATATTGACAATTCAGAGAAAGTATAATATATAACTTTAAGAAAGACATCAAATAATTAGAGTAAATTTTATTAGTATTTTATACAAGTAAAAATTAAACTTATTATTAAAACAAACAAAAATAGAAAAAAAACTGACTTTGGCTTTGAAATGCAAATTGAAAAATGACATTAGTTTTCACTGGTCTTCAATGTGTCTTCTTCAGAAGTGTCAATAAGCAGTTGAAGAACGGCCCGTTTTAATTTATTCCTAAGCATCTTTGTTGAGAGGGATCTCATAACGTGGGCAACAAATTCGCCTAAAGATGTTCCCTCGTCCTGCGCTTCCTCCAAGGCATCCAAATCGTCCTCTAATTCAAATGCAACATGTTCCAGTTTCCTTTTAACAGGTCTGGCACGGACCTGGGGATCGCTCGACTCGCCACTGGACATATCTATGGATATATCTTCACTTTGCTCGTCACTCGATTCATCATATGTTTTCTAAAAAAGGAATATTTATCATCAACTATCATTAGAAAAATTCACAATATGTACACTAATTTACATATGTATTTATTAATTTACACTTCAATTATTCGAAAAAACTGGATTTAACTTATTAAATAATTACAATTAATTAAGGTTTTTAGTTGAGATAAAAAAGTCAATTGCACGAGCGGGATTCAAACCCACGATCTTCAGCTTGATACGCCGCTGCTCTATCGTGACCTCGATCCACTCGGACACCAACTTCCCATATCAACCCACCTTTTGAATTTTCTCTACTTTTTGCCAATTTTCAACTACATTCAAACATTTTTATCTCAACTAAAAACCTTAATTAATTGTAATATATTAATTGGTCAAGCGGACCACGAAATTAGTGAATTTATTAAATAATGAAAAATTTCTTTTTGTTAGACCTTGGTTTGTTATTTAATTACATTTTTAACATATTCTTTTTAAGGATGATTTTATGATGGTTAGAAATCCTAACAAACTGTAAGGTGACCAAAAAATCTGTAATCAGCAATGATTTTAAACTTATAAACAGTATAACTTTACTATTGAATATCATAATAATTTATTTAATAGTGTAATTAAAGATTATTTGGAGATCGTGAGGTGCGGTCTTTTTCTTTGGAATAAAACGTTTTCTTTATCATGCCAACGTTTCAATCTTTATTAAGATCATCTTCAGGGCCTGGGATTTGTAAACATTGTTTAAATTTTACAAATGCATGTAGGACGTCAAAAAGTGTAATTAAATTTTCAAACTTTTCTTCGGAATATTTAAATACAGTCTGAAATTCTCAGGAATTAATTATTATTTAACAAAAAGACCTACCGATTTCTTCCTTGTTTGCTTGCGCTTTCTCTTTGTTCTCCTTTTGTCAGGCAAATTAAAATTGTCACCAGAAGACGATTCCTGGTAGTCTTCTTTACTATATACTGGTGGGTTCATTCCTACGAAAAAAGATTAGTTTTAAAACTCAGAACAAACAACAGAATGTAGTTTTTTTTTGTTTGTTTTTTTAATTAATGGTCTAACTTGTATAATTGTTGTAATAACCTGTTGAACTGGCAATGGGTCGTTTACTCGATGCAATCAGCACTTTCTTACTAAGATGGCATAAAGCCGAAACGTGTTTGAAAACATCAACAAGTGACCCAGTGCCAGGCTGACAACCACCATCAACTTTAATTAATACTTTGTCAGCAGAATGTTGTGATTAGTTTTGGTTGCACTTATATGGAATAAGAAGGACATATCCATGAATAGGCAAGCAATGCACAATTGAAAAGCTGTTTTCTCAACCGTTACTCCCTAGCAGTCCAGAATTCTTCAGCAATATTTCATATTTATGGATTATTCTGATATATTTCTTATTCCATATGCATGATTTATTGGGCTGGTGCAAAAATAATTCAGGTTTTGAAAAGGCAATCAAAACTATTTTTAATTTGTATAAAATAAAGAAAATGTATTCAAAATATTTTCCATCACAATCTATACATCTTTGCCAATGGATAATAAACACTTTTATTCTGCTGACATAAAAATCGACTCACAATAAAGTTCACTATTTTCGTGGTCTGCTTGACCAATTAACATATTACAATTAATTAAGATTTTTAGTTGAGATAAAAAAGTCAATGGCACGAGCGGGATTCGAACCCACACATACACTTCATTTCACAATAAAGTCTTAGAAGGTGTTTTCGGCTTCACCGGGTTCTCTAAAAATTTTATCATTCAAAAAGTGATTAAAATAACTAAAAAAGTGGAATTCTGAAGGCCAGAGGTCAAGTAAATACGGAGGGTGCAGTAAGTTTTCATATCCCTCAGTTATTCAGTTTCCACAGGGCTGGTATTGACATGTGGCCTGGCATTATCATGAAGAAGAATCGGCCCCTTACAGTTTACCAATGATGGACGAAGAAGTTGCAGTTTCCCATGTATTTTGAAAATTTCTTGGCAATATTTCTCTACTGTGATAGTTTCACCATAATTCAGGAAATTATAGTAAACAATCGCAGCAGTGCACCACCAAACAGTCACCATAACTTCACTAGTTTTCATGGTCCGCTTGACCAATTAATATCTTTCAATTAATTAAGGTTTTTAGTGGAGATAAAAAGTCAGCGTCACGAGCAGGATTCGAACCCACGACCTTTGGCTAGATACGCCGCTGCTGTACCACTTGAGCTATCGCGACTTCGATCCGCTCCGACACTAACTTCCCATCTCAACCTCACCTCTCGAATTTTCTCTCCTTTTTGACTTTTTCAAATGTCGTATAATCTATTTGATTCTCGGTGATAAATGAAATGGCCAAGGAGAGCTTCAAAGAGATCGAAGTCACGATAGCTCAAGTGGTAGAGTAGCAGCATATCTAGCCAAAGGTCGTGAGTTCGAATCCCGCTCATGACACTGATTTTTTTATCTCAACTAAAATCCTTAATTAAATGAAAGTCACCATAACCTTTTTTGGGTGCAGATTTGGTGTCGGGAAATATTTTGGTGCTTCATCCTTGTCCAACCACTGATTTGTACACCTCCTGTTATCATACAAAATCCATTTCTCATCACACTTGATGATTCGATCGATAAATGGATCATTTTGGTGGCATAACAGAAAAGACGTGAAAATTTTAAAGCGTCAATCCCTTTGGGCTTTGGTTTGTTCATGCAATACCCACCTGTCGAGCCTCTTTGCTTTACCATTTTGCTCCAGATGGCGAAAAATAGTTGAGTTAATAGTTGAACCTAAGCTCTTCCACAATTTTCCATGTTGTCTTATGTGAATTTTCTTCAATAAATGTTTGAGTCCACAATGGAAGGCCTACTGTGACCTTCCCTGTCTTCGAGATCAAAATCTCTGAAACCATCGCTGCACCATGCATTCACTTCTCCCCCCCCCAAACTGTATTGATGTTATGCGTGGTTTGGCTGCACTTCGACCAAGTTTAAATTTGTTTAATAAATTTGACGAAAATCTAGGTTGGACATATTTAATATCACAGGTCCTCACTCTTAGAAAATTCAATATAAAATAAAATGTTTTGAATAAGAGATAAAGTTAAAAGTATTTATTATAATCTATAAATTAGATTTGAGGATTTAGCTTTGTCTACGTGATAAGCAAAAATAAAACCTGCATTAATTTTGTGCCAACTAAATATAAAATTCCGTTAAAGCAATTAAGTGCATATCAGAAGTAGCTCTTTTCATTGTACATAATTGGGAGCTTACTTATTTACATCAAGTCAAATTGTCGCAATTACGTGTGTGTGTGGTGTTTGGTGACCGTTGGTCAATGATTATTCGGAGATCGTGATATGCGGTCTGATGTGACGTAGGTTTTAGAAAAACATTTCGGGCATGATAAAGAATGTTTTTCTAAAATCTCTGTCACAATTACTTTAAAATAATGAATATTTTTCAGTCATCTTAAGAAACTCAGAATTTTAGCAGGTTTTTTGACATACCACTTTTTCGCGGTAAGGCGAAGATACTAAACCCTCAACTCTGAAAAGAATTGCAGAATGGAAGCTATTGTTTTTTTTAATATATATATATGTATTATATATAATACCCCATGAATTCATTGCTTCACAGGCCCTGATTTGAGTCAAAACGGTTTCAACAAAAATTTTCATAATGGTACAAAAACAACCTGAGGCAGAACTAGACAACCTCAGCTTCACTAATACAGTGCACAGCAAATACCTGCCAGCTATCAGCTTCCTATCTCTTAGGGCTATGACACATGGAGCGGTGACCAAAGTTAAACGCTGCGTTGTTGTTTTTTGCAGCTGACATTCGCTGCAGTTTCACTTGTGGTATCATGTCGATTTCTTCAAAGGAGCCAACCAGTTTCATTTAATTCATTCATCAATTATTATAGTGCAATATTATTGTTTATTAATGGAAGGGACGAAGCACAAGTACTTCTGCTGTCCCTGCTGTATTGGAAAAGAAAAACAAAAAACAGGAGAATATGGGTTTACTGTACTGCGTAAATGTATCCAATTCATTCTTCTCTTCTCTCCAATTTCTTCCCAGCTCTGTTTCCTGGGTACACAATCGCTGTATTATGCTGTGTTCATGTCCCACAGAGCTGGACACTTCTCTATTTCATTAATTAATTTTTCCAAGTCAATTTTTTCAAAAATTCAGATGATAGACGCATAGTACTGCACTGTACAAACAATTCCACAAAAAACTTTCAAAACCAACTCAGAGGTCGTCTCGCCAGGTGGTAACACCAACCATCTCTCATCACTCACACTCAACAAAGAAACGACCTACCAACTTGGTTTTACTCTCAGTTAACACTTTGGTCAAAACTGCTACGTGTGTCATAGCCCTTATGTTCATTTGGTTCTTAACCTTCAATCAGTTGTGCTTGGATTTTTCTTGTGTTGCACAGATAGATAAACTGGACCCTAGTTCTGTTCTAAAAATAGCCTATAAAGAAAGAATCCATGAGTGTTTGCACACAATGAAGCCACAAACAGGAAAAAATCATCCTTGGGGTACAAAACTACCTCGTGCGACTTATGCTACTTTTTCAACCATTGATTTTAATTCACTACTTTTGTGGTCCGCTTGACCAATTAATACATGACAATTAATTAAGGTTTTTAGTTGAGATGAAAAAAAGTTAATCTGCCATTTCAAATGTCGTCAAGAATCCAAACCGATTACACGACATTTGAAAAATGGCAAAAGGAGGGAAAACTCATAAGGTGGGGTTGAGATGGGGAGTTGATGTCCGAGTGGATCGAGGTCATGATAGCTCAAGTGGTAGAGCAGCGGTGTATTTAGCCTAAGATCGTGGGTTCGAATCCCTCTCGTGCCATTAACTTTTTTTCATCCCAACTAAAAACCTTAATTGTCATTGATTTTAATACTTTTTTCAGTCAATTATGCACATTTATGCCTTCTTTTTTCTGGTACTTCGTAATTTATTTATCTTTTCTAACCCTGAGAGTTAAATTACAGGAAAAATTCAAAAAACACTCTTCAGTCAGTCAGATTCACCAGAACATTATTTATGATAACAACTCACAAATGTGGTCACATAAATATCTCGGAATTTTGGAGCACAGGCAACACAAGGATGGAGATTTTGTATGTTGCCGTGAGGTACAGGAAGTTTGTCTTTCTCCGATTTCTTAGGTTCAACAATTTGAATTCGAGTTAAGACAGCAGAGGAAAAAACCATCCAGGACATCATGACTTTTGTAATTAATCTGTCAATAATTGTAAGCTGTCTTACGAGTTGAGCGAATATACCATGATTAATAAAATGCTTCATCCATTTTGATGGAGATACTCTTGGATTCAGTATGTACCTAGAAAACCTATCAACTGTATGAAGATCTTTCCATTGTTGGTTAAAACAGTAGTATTCCATCAAAACTCCTTAACACCATAAATGCTTTTTAAAATGTAGAAACGGATGCATGATGAGTACACGAGGTTTGACAAGAAAACTTGGATCCATGTTTATCGTCGTCAATATATTATCTTGACCTACCAAATATTTAACAATAGTACAGATACAGAACAAAACAACCCTGGCCAAAATGGTTGGGACATTGCAGTAAGAAGGACCGCAGTACGTTTATCACATGAGCCACCAGATACCATATCAGATGCGGTACAAGACGGTCTCGACCCAGCTGGTTTGGACTTAACAACAAAACAGGGCCACAATGTGCTTTGTAAACTGAGATACCAGATATGCCATAATCGATCAGATGTAGAACAAAGCAGCATCAGCCCAAATGGTTTGAACATTCTAACAAACAAGGCTTTGATATGATCCTTAAGTTGACCTACAAAATATGTCAAAATAGTACAGATGCAGAACAATGCAGCCCCACCCCAACTGGTTTGGACATTGCAGCAAACAGGGCTATGATATGCTCCTTAAGTTGACCTACAAAATATGTCAAAATAGTACAGATCTAGAACAAAGCAGCCCCACCCCAACTGGTTTGGACATTGCAGCAAACAGGGCTCTGATATGCTCCTTAAGTTGACCTTCCAAATATTTAACAATTGTACAGATGCAGAACAAAACAACCCTGGCTAAACTGGTTGGGACATTGCAGTAAGAAGGACCGCAGTACGTTTATCACATGAGCCACCAGATACCATATTATATCGGATGCGGTACAAGACGGTCTCGACCCTGCTGGTTTGGACTTAACAACCAACAGGGCCACAATGTGCTTCGTAAATTGAGTTACCAGGTATGCCATATTTAATCAGATGCAGAACAATAGGTCAAAATAGTACAGATGCAGAAAAGAGAGCCTCAGCCCAGATGGTTTGGGCATTGCAGCAAACAGGAATGTGTTTCTTAGAACTGAGCTCTCAGATAGTAGTGCTATTCAACTGAGGCAATCCACGGCTCAAAAAAAATAAGTCGATAACCCAAGCTCTATATGTTAATGGTTGTTTAGGAAGCTAACTACGAATTTTCAAAATATGTACCTTTCAGCTTAGTCGTTTCAGAGTAAAAAATGCTTGGATAGGCGGCAGACGTGAGCTTAGGCTTTGTCCTTTTGAGGGTGAGCACGGATCCATCGTCTCGCACGGCCGAAGTCTCCCACTGGACGAAGTCATCCTTGAAATGTTTTATGCAGATGCAGCTGTACGATTTAAGCTCCAGCTCTCCTCCCCACGCGGTGTTTATGATGCTAAGCCAAATCTGCCGCCTGATCGGGTCCCTCGGGAAGACGAAAGTGTTGACGTGAGGCGACTTATCGGCCGGCTTCCTTGAGTAGTTGGTCCTGCAACCAGGCACGCAGCATATCCGCGGCATATTCCATCTGCTAGCATCCGGCCCGTGGGCTCAGTCTCGAACTACAACGAGATTCGGCTGCGGCCAAATCAAAACGCTTGGTTCCTTTCGACCAAAGAAACGGAGTCAATAAACAACGAAAGTCACCTTGAGGTTGCATTATTGACTGGCTAAGCACTTATCACGGTTGTTTTGGTTGGGAGGGAAACAACTAAATATACCTTAACACATCAGCAACATCTATAAACAAAAGATTAATAATTTATAATATACTATAAACTATATAAACTTAAATTTTTCCATTTAATCCCCCTTCTAAGTTCAAACCTTAGATTAAATTTTAAAAATATAAATAATTCTTGATAATCAAACTACCTAAAGGGTACATCTACTTTTATACCTGGACTCACAGACACTAAACAACATAATACACAAAACAAATTAGAACATGTTTTTTAAATATATACTGTTTAAAGTTTATTTACTTTAGTATTATTAATTATTAATGGCTAAATGAATACTTATTATACAAAAATACATGATTTCTTAAAAAATTTTGTTACTTGATAACATAATTTTAAATTTAATCTATACCGTTCATTAGTGGTCTAATTGGCCAAATTACCGCTTTCAATTTATTATTTTTATGTAAGGTAGAGAAGAAAAAGTTACTGTCACGAGTGGGATTCGAACCCATGACCTTCGGCTCAATACACTGTTACACTAACCACACTAATTTTTTTTCACAAACAAGACTTTACATAAAAAGAATAATTGATTGAAAGTTTTAATCTATACTTTGAACTTAGGAAAAGGATTAAATTTTTAAAAATATAAATAATCCTTAATGATCAAACTACCAACAAGGGTACACTTGTATACCTGGACTCAAAGACATTAAACAACATAATACAATTAATTAAGGTTTTTAGTTGAGATAAAAAAGTCAATGGCATGAGAGGGATTCAAACCCACGATCTTCGGCTTGATACGCCGCTGCTCTACCACTTGAGCTATCGTGACCTCGATCCACTCGGACACCAACTTCCCATCTAAACCGCACCTTTTTGAATTTTCCACCACGAAATTAGTGAATTTAAACAACATAATGCACAAAACAAATTAGAACATGTTTTTTAAATGTATACTATTTAAAGTTTATTTACTTTAGTATTATTAATTATTAATGGCTAAATGAATACTTATTATACAAAAACTACATGATTTCTTAAAATTTTTTGTTATTTGATAACTTAATTTTAAATTTAATCTATGCCATTTATATTTAGTGGTCTAATTGACCAAATTACTTCTTTCAATTAACTATTCTTTTTATGTAATGTTGAGAAGAAAAAGTTACTGTCATGAGTGGGATTAGAACTCATAACCTTCGGCTCATACACTTTTTTTCACAAACAAGACTTTACATAAAAAGAATAATTGTTTGAAAGTTTTAATCTATACTTTGAACTTAGGCAAAGGATTAAATTTTTAAAAATATAAATAATCCTTAATGAACAAACTACCAACAAGGGTACATTTGTATACCTGGATTCACATACATTAAACAACATAATGCTCTAAACAAATTAGAACATGTTTTTTAAATACATACTATTTACAGTTTATTACTTTAGTATTATTAATTATTAATGGCTAAATGAATACTTATTATACAAAAAATACATGATTTCTTAAATTTTTTTGTTATTTGATAACTTAATTTTAAATTTAATCTATGCCGTTTATATTTAGTGGTCTAATTGACCAAATTACTTCTTTCAATTAATTATTCTTTTTATGTAAGGTTGAGAAGAAAAAGTTACTGTCATGAGTGGGATTAGAACTCATGACCTTCGACTCAATACACTGTTACTCTAACCACACTAATTTTTTTTTTTTCACAAACAAGACTACATAAAAAGAATAATTGTTTGAAAGTTTTAATCTATAGTTTGAACTTACGTGAAAGATTAATCAATTCAAACCTTAGATTGAATTTTTAAAAATATAAATAATCCTTAATGATCAAACTACCAACAAGGGTACACTTGTATACCTGGACTCATAGACATAAAACAACATAAGGCACAAAACAAATTGAAAAAGAACATGATTTTTAAAGTTTATTTACTTACATGCTATTACAAACTATCTTCAAGAGTTCATTTAATTGAATACCTGAACTGAATTTTATTTTAAAAAACCATCATTAACAATGACATAATGCTCAAAATAAATTAAGAAAAGTACATAATTTTTTTAATATATACCATTTAAAGTTACTGTTCTTTAATACATACTATATCAGAAAAACATTACAGATTAAAGTAGTATTTTTATTAGATTTAAAGTTTTGAAAATGTAGTTTGGTAATATATTTACTTTACTTTTTATTTTCATAAATGGCAAATTAGACCAAAGTGATAGATTCTATTACTAGTCTGCCTAATCTTTCTTGCAGAATATGGTGATAAAATTACAACATAAGCAAAAAGGTAAAAGTAGTTCAATAAAAAGTCATTTTAGAAATAATAGTCAGTGTCAAACGCAAGGCAAAGGAGGATAAAATGGTAGGTCATGTATGTTTTCCTATTTTGGGAAATTTTTCTCTGCTTGACAAACTATCCCAATTTTCAAATTTTTTTTATTTACCAATAGGTAGATATATTGAATATCAAAAATGTATTTAAGAAACTTTTAACAGATCCTTTATGGTTTAAGCCTGTTGAGACGCTATTCAAAGTATGATAATTCAATCATTTTAAATTTGTATTTCAACTAAGTAGCTTATCTTTATTAAACAACACTCTAGCAAAGTTTGCAGAATGGAACTCAGACAACTAAAAACATATATATGTATAGTTTGAAGGCAAATCAATTCGACCTCCTCTTCAGCCACTCCAAGTTTTCAGTAGAGAGAGGAGAGAGAGAGAGAATCTTTTTCTTTTTGATTTCTTTACTCTACTAACTGTACTACAGGTAGGTACTTCCAAAAACTTGGAGTGGTTGACGAAGAGATCAGGATTTGCATTGCAATATATATCATCGTAAATACAGAACTTTTTGGTTGTACCAATTCCATTCCTCATCTTCGCTGGACTCACTCAAAGAAAGAAAAAAGGCACTTATATTTTTATGTTTATTTCAAACTATATGAAGGTATTTTTATCGTTATATTAATTAAAACATACTTATTTTAATGTAAATAAAAACAAGATCAGAATTTCATTAGGTTTACTTAAAAAATATTTAATTATGAAGGTTTGAAAGGTAATTTACCAAAACACCACAAAGTCATTTAGTGATAGGTTACAATTTACCTAACAAATTGTTAAATTAATTCCACCAAAAAAAGAAAGACTAAAAACTCGTTGAGATAACTAATACGAATATTTTTATGCTCAGTTCATTAATATAAAAAACCGTTATCTTTAATTGCAGTATTTGTCAACTTGAAACAAGCGTTTGACATAAACCACAATAATTTATTTCAAAGACCTGAAGTCAGTTTTAATAAAGTATTAAATTTTCAAAAGACCTTTCAAAATAAATATAAACAGTCATGAAAGTGAATAATTAAAGGCATTTTGCAAGGAAACTGTTTTACCTTCACTTTTTAGTTTATTAACTTCAGATGTGGTTAAATTTATAAAAAGTCATAATAACAAATAAATAATATATTTTATAACTTACAAATGATTCCTTAGACATAAAAAATAATCAACATTTATATAATTTGTAAACACATTGTACAAAATTGTATAACAAAAAGAAATGAATAATCAATTTAAAAAAATATACAGCCTTTTGTTATTGAGATAAATAAAATATATAATAATTGTATATAAATATATGAGGGGTAAATTTAAAGTGCAAAAATGGCACTGTTGTTTGAATTACTCGCCCGCCTTACTGTAATATTGCTTGTTGATAATCAGTCTCATTAGCATATATTATTGTCCAGTAATGGGGTTTGTTCAATAGGGCCTTTTAAGTCTCTTGAATAAGGAATTCAAGTGGTGGTAAAAGTTTCCAAGAGTGGCGTGTCTGTGATGTGCACTGTACGTTCATTTTGTACTGACCGGGATTAAAAAATACGACGCTGCTTTCCATTTTGATGCTCCCTTGTTCTTCAACCTGAAAATCGTTTTATTTTAAACAATGCCGTTTGTAAATTTGAGGTTTTACCTTCTCAAAATAAAGGTGCGAAGGGCCGGCAATCGCAAGCCTCGTATCGAGTTTAAAATTGCAAGTCCCATTTTGATAATCTTGGAAAAAGTGGACGGAAAGCGATAAATCCGTTAGAGGCCTTGTCAACGAATTATACGCTACAATGCACAACTGGACACACTCTCCAACATCGGCTGTAAACGGCACTGAGCCGCTTACTTCCTCGCCGTTCACGAGGACTACTACAAAACAAAACAAATTTTTTCTGACTCGTCTTTTAATCGGATCTATAAAACTTACCCCAATTGATTGGTGATGTCCGGACAATATCTAGCATGTGTGATGATAGGGTAATACCATTAAGAGAAGCTTTGCCCGAACGCTCACCCATGAACCACTCAATTTCAACGAGTGAGGCTATATGTTCACTACATATTGTATTTAAGTCAACTATCTCTTTTATAGACCCTTCACTATGGAAAAACTGAGGGAAAAATTATGTAATTAATACAAACTATAATTATTAAAACTAGTATATTACAATTAATTAAGGTTTTTAGTTGAGATAAAAAAGCCAATGGCACGAGCGGGATTCGAACCCACGATCTTCAGCTTGATACGCCGCTGCTCTACCACTTGAGCTATCGTGACCTCGATCCACTCAGACACCAACTTCCCATCTCAACCACACCTTTTTAAATTTTCCCTCCTTTTTGCCATTTTTAAAATTAATTAATTGTAATATATTAATTGGTCAAGCGGACCACGAAATTAGGGAATTAAAACTAGTATTGAATTTTTTTTAGTTTGGTTGTTTCTGATCTGCTAAGCTCGCTGTTTTTTCTCTAGTGGTGGGTTACACCCAACAGACCAAAACAGCATAGACTAGAAAGATCAAAAACTACCAAAATATAGGTTCGTCTCCCCATAGATCTTAAGAAGATATCGCATAATTTACTTACTTGACCAATTTTTGATAAAGGGCAACGGTCAACAGGAATTGGGACCCTACAAGACTCAGAAACTTCTATTATCATCCGTTTATTTTCCGCGTATTTAATTTCAATCTCCTGATCAGTCATATTCACCATATCCAGGACCATATAGAACTGGGAGCTCCTACAATAAAAGTTCAAAATTTCTCTTTTAAGAAAAATAATTTTTGCAAAAAAAAAAACTTACGTATCTGCGGGTAGAACATCCCAGTTAGAAATAACAATTGAAAGGGAAATATCAACAACCAAAGAAAGCAACGCAACTCTACAGTACCCAGAATCCAAACCAGGTTTTCCTGAGTATCTTATTTTGATTCGACAGTTAACATTCTATACACAAAAACAACAATAGAAAAAAATCTTGTAAAATGGTATGATTGAATTAAATGAAATACCTTGATCATATTTGCTATTACTGGTCTAGTAAATTGTGAGCTAAGAGAGTTGAGACTGCTAGGACCAGATCTGAAAGACGGTGTGGGAGTTGTCAACCTATCGCCACCTGGCTTATAGCTCTGTAATGATGGAAAAGAACTATTTCCAGAGAACAGGCTGCTTCTCATGCTCGTACCATCTAATAATAAAACCAGTTAACGTTGTTTCTTTATATAAAAAATATTTATAAAAAAAATACCTGGTGGAAAGGTGTTTACAAAATTTGCTGCTGCAAAAACTCTAAGCGGTAGCACCATAGTGCTACCTTCTGCTAAAGGTAGCATGCTTTGCAGGTTTGATGCATCGTATGTAAGAATATTTTGCTCTGCAGTCGAATCAATACTGATCTCGATTATGTCAATATCACCTTTACCTAAATTGTGAATCACAAGTTCACATTCAGTGCTGAAAAGAAAATTGTTGCAATTTTTCGTTTTATACCGTAAAATTTATTGCTTAACAAGTATTAAAAATTTAATTATTACCTTTCACCAGCTAATAGTGAAATACAAGATCCTGACTGGTCTTGAATAACTTCATTCCCTAATTTTACATGAGTCTGAAAAAAATTGTTTTAATTTAATAAAGACAAGACGGGGTTAAAAATGTGCATACCTCTATCAAAGGTAGAGCTGGGACAACTTCTATCACAAATTTTGATTGTGGAATTTTTGATAAGGCTTTCAACCTACAATTACTTTTAACTCCAAGAGTATGAGTTGAATATCCTAAAAAAAAAAAAACAATAAAAATATTGAGTTTTGTTCATCCTAAGATATACACTGCTCCACAAAAAAAGGGGCGTACTATGACATTTTTATTTAATTTGACAATGTTTTAGCCATATTTTTTGTTTTACTTTAAAAATTATTTAAAGTAAAACAAAAAAACGATTTAACAATTAAAATTAAATAATTATAATAGTATTAAATAATTAAGTAAAAAGTAATAAATAATTATAATAATAAATAAGTATTTGTTTTGGCTATACACAGCAGTAATATGACCCAAAATAACCTATGGATCATTAATCTGGTGGAGCAGACTTCATAATTAATAAAATCAGACACCCATTCTTAGAAATGGGGACTGACTAATATGATTCCGGAAGCATTCTTTACAATAAATATAAAGTCTCAATGGACTATAAAGAGGAAGAACACAGGAGAGCATCGGATACAATGATATGGTATACAGATGGCTCAAAAACAAAAGAAGGAACTGGATCGGGCACTTTCTTTAAAAGTCGAAAACATGAGCAATCAAGCTCATTAGGGAAGTATACTTCCGTCTTTCAAGAAGAAATGCATGCCATAAACACTTGGGCCCTGGAAAATCTTAAAAGAGGTTAAACTGGGAACAAAAATTCTCATAAGATCTGAAAGCCAAGCAGCTATTAAAGCATTAGCTTGTAAAAGAATCACATCAAAATTAGGCAGTGTATGTATCCAAAATCTCCAAACCCGGGGGAAACACAACAACCTGATTCTTGGGTGCCAGGGCACAGAGGAATTTCGGGTAACGAGAAAGGAGACAGACTGGTCAGAGGAGGGTCTGCAAGACCATACATAGGCCCCGAACCAATACTTGAGATAACAAATATAGAATCCTCCATTGCAGAATGGATCCAAACAAAACAAAAGGAGAAGCGGATAAACTCTAGTAGCACTAGACACAGTAAACTTATGACGAAACAACCCCACCAAGTCTGGCAAAACCACTGCTGTAATTGGAGAGGGGTAAACTCAGAGGAGTGGTAGGACTATCATCTAGCCACTGGTATCTGAGAAAACATCTACACAACGTGGATATACATAATGATGATCCCATCTGCAGATTTATGCAATGAGGAGGGGGAAACAACCACCCATATCATCTTCGAATGGGAAGCAACGGATCTATGGATAATTAACCTAACACACGAAAAAACATTTTCTTTATCGTGCCGTTTCGATCTTTATTGAGATCATATTCAGGGCTCAAAGTGTTCGTCTTCTGTGTAATTGTGCCATTCTTGCGTGCCATGTTGAGAGTGCCCTTGGGCAAAAGATCAAAACGTTGGCACGATAAAGAAAATGTTTTTCTGAAACTTACATCACACCAGACCGCATCTCACGATTTCTGAATAATTATCGATTAACGGTCACTAATCACCACACATTCAAAAAAACCTAGGGAATGAAATTGTAGCAGACAAGCAATGACCTGATGCTTCTAAGAAGAAGGATTGAGTCTATTGCACTGAACTAAGGAACTAGGAAGGTAGAATAAGCCAGAAGGCTGCAGTGCCTAGGGAGCACAAACCCCGCTTCCTAGTATCCTTATTACCATACCATACCAAATATTTTTGTTGCCGATAGTGAGAGTAAACCACTTAATTCATCATTTGATTTAAAATCTCCATAAGATATCAACAAGAGCATTTATTCATTTAAAATTGCCTTTTTTCACTTTTATGTTGGTGGCACAAAACAAAACGATTACAAAAATGCCCATAATCAGCAAGCAACTAGCTCATGCCATTGCACTCATTGAGGATGGAAGAAGTCGGCATTACACTGCAAGAGTTTTAGGTTTGCCTAAAATGATGGTTGTTGGGCATTCGGTGGTACCAGGAGATTGCAAGGTGACTTGGAGACCAGGACATCCAAGAACCAATGGACCAGCTGACAACCGGTCAGATTTCACACTCTGAGACATCCCCCATTGCTTCTGAAATGTCTTAAAGGCTTTGACCTATGCTGGATGTGTCCGTTGTCACCCCTTACAATTTGGGTATGACACCTTCGAAGATATTCCAAAGGGTGAATGGGGCACATATAAGAATGCTGAGTGGGGGAAAGTCTGAGGAGGGGAGATGTTCAATTTGAACTGGAAAAAACAGATCGGGTAAGTTCCAGATTCAAAACCTATTGCTTGAGCTAGTGCCAATATTTAGAATTAAATTGCATAATAATTTAATTCTCACGAGGATGAGTGACTATATAGTGTGATTGTATGGCTACAGGTGGAAGATAAAGTGTGGAATAATTAAAAAAATTATTCATCCTATGTTACAATTTTTGGTTTGCCTGTATGTATGTTTTGTAAATATATTTTATGTTTTCAGTTAATTTGCTTTCATCTAGTGTGCTTTTGTTTTATTTTACTGTTCCCCGTATTCCTTTTAATTTATTGGTCCACTTCAAATTCGTCTCTTATCCGCAAGTTTTGGAAGTGTTGCACACTTTCTCTAAATTTCATACCCTTATTTGTTGTGGCGTTGAAAGACCAATGTCACACCGTTAGCACTTTAACAATAAGAAGAAAAGTTGCAGAAGAGAGCCCACTTCCCTGTGAGGCCAGCAACAGGTCCAGGGCTTACCAGAGACCATCGTCGGGACTGCTTAAGAGTTTGCAAGGGACATTAACATTGGGCGGAAACAGTAATGAAGGAATATTGTGTTTTCAGATCAGTCCCCATTTTCTCTCCATTCACCAGATGAATGTCTTCGAGTTTATCGAGCAGATGTAGAGCTCTACAGGCATTTCCAGAAGTGGATCGTTCGAAGGTGGTTCAGTTATGGTGAGGAGTGGAATTTTTTTGGAGGTAAAAAAGTAGTTATACATTTTTAATAGGATGTCACTTAATGCAGAAATCTAAATGACAGAAATTCTTGAGGCATATGTGTTTTGTGTTCCATTTTCTCCGTTTATTGGTGAGCAATTTTTGTTCCTGCAAGATTTAAGTTGCAAGAAAACCAACTGTCGCCACCTTTGAGATGTCAACATTTACATCCTAAGACACCCAGCCCGTATTGCTGATTTGAACACCGTTGAGTACTTTTGAGGCTAGCTCAGATATTGGTAAAATGAAAAAATAATCTTCCTACAACCATAGCTGAGCTGAAAGTTACATTGGTTGACATTTAGGATTAAATTCCTCAAAAAGTGTTTAAAGGCTTAATTATGAGTATGCTGAGTTGTTTACAGTGTGTAATAAGAGCAAGAGGAGATAATAACCCTATTAATGATTGTTAAGTTTGTTTTATAATGTTTTATTCACTAGTTTAAAATGACGTATACCTTCACGAAAGCTCTCTGTGGCCATTTCATTTGTCGCCAAGAATCAAATAGATTACACGACATTTGAAAAATGGCAAAAAGGAGGGAAAATTCAAAAGGTGTGGTTGAGATGGGAAGTTGGTGTCTGAGTGGATCGAGATCATGATAGCTCAAGTGGTAGAGCAGCAGCGTATTTAGCCGAAGATCGTGGGTTCGAATCCCGCTCGTGACATTGACTTTTTTATCTCAACTAAAAACCTTAATTAATTGTAAAATAATGTTTTATATTCATACACAAAAGTGATTTTTTTTAAATATTTATTTTCCCACTAACCAAATCTTTTAATAAAAACCTGAATTAAAAAAATATCGTGTTATTATTACTGAAAAGCAAGTACATAAAAAAATATCTAAATTTCAAAGTGTACCTCTTTTTTTGTGGAGTAGTTAATTTACTTTATGGACAATTTTAAGGGAAATAAATGAATCAATAATTTAATTTAACAACCTGTAATTTCCAGTTCTCCTGTTTCTTTAGGGGTCCCTGCCAATACTACAGGGTATCTGACGACTTCCGGAGGGAGTGTCACCGTGTACGGAAGTGTTTCAAACACGACTCCTGTAGTCAACAACCTCTGGTAAAATTACACTTAATTACACAATTGTTTCAAACGCAAATGCCAAATACAGAAAACAAACCATGTTTGAAACTTCCAGTTCAAAATTAAGAGGGTTTGTCAACTCTAATTTAACCTCGCATTCTTCTTCTGCTACCCAAAGGTAATCTAGAAAATTAAAATAAGTTATTAAATATTCAACAAAAACAAACAAAAAACGGACTTAATTTTGCAATTTTCTCTTTTGTCGATGATGTTTTTCTTTCGAGAGATCCAAAATTTAAAGGTGTGAATAAAAATGGCCCGTAGTCTTCTTTGATCTTTTCTAACTTTATAGGCTGAAAAGGAGGTGGTAATTTGTGGACAACAAAGCTCCTGAATGAACAATTAACAAATTAATTGTGGCAATAAAACAATACACAAATTTTACTTACTCCACAGTAGGAATGTGAATTAAATTAGCAGGTGGTATAATCAGCCCTGAGTCGAGTATTAGTGGAATCGGTGAGCCTTCACACTGCGCAGCTATGCTTTGAAGTTGTAATGAAGCCTCTACTCTCTCATTGGGTGAGAGCTGGGACCACATGACTTGCAACAGGAGTGTCATATGTCTAGTCGCCAAAGAACTATGACCGACCCTATTTGCAGCAGTCACAACATCCTGAAGAACTTGCTTTTGTAAACTTCCCCAACCATTTTCACCAGCTGAAAAGTCTACTATGTACATTCCATCACAATGGCAGGATTAGTTTCGCTTACATTCTGGATAATCTGAAGGATCTAAAGAGAGCCTATGGCCCGAAAGCGCTTTGAGCATAAGGTTATAACACTCGTCCCAATTAGTCTGCGGATTCTTTGCAGACACGTATTTTGCAGCTGCTGTCCTTTGATAGTAAGAAGCTTTTCTATGAAAACCTATTTTAGTATATAGCTCAGAAAGTGTGTTAAACTGCTTAATCTGAGAATAAAAAGCAAAGTTAAAAACAAATCATTACATTAAAATTTCATCACATACTTTTTCATCCTCTGGTAGGGAAAGCTTTATAAAAATTACATTCTGCAAGAAATAAGCTACTTGCAAAGGCATATTGAATTCTGCTGCTACTCTCGCGGCTTTGAAACGTACTTCTGTTTCAATAACGCTGGCATGAGAACACTGAAAGCAAAAAGTACAAATGTCTTACTCTCAAATAAATCAGGCAGACAAATTATCTAACATACCTGGCTGTAATATAATATCGATTGTCTACAACATTTACATATATCTTCATTAGACAAAATGTTATTGGGAGGAGGAATGATCGGGAGTGAAGAAGGTTCTAATATTTCTAATCCACTAGTAACTTTGTTCTGTTTATACCTGAAACCACACACACAAAAATATATATTCAAACAAAATAACCAGTGTTGTTCAACACAAACTTGTTCTTGTTTGTTTCTTGCAGTGATGAATTTCTCTGCACTGTCTGGGTTTTGAACGGGACGGGGTACCGGATACACATTGATGCAGCTGTTAAACCTTCACAAGCGCCTAAAATTAAAACAAGAATCAAAAAAGTGTTAAAGCGAATAAAATAAAATTAAATAGGCATTACTTCCAAGCCAGAGTAGATCATTGATGGATCTTAGAATATTTGACGCCTGTTGATAATGAGAAAGGGAATCAGCAGGGAGTCCTGCTTGTAAACAGAGATCACCCAAATGCTTGGTAATCCTGCCTAAAGATCTTTTGCGATTCAAATTGGAATCCATATCTTGTCCTACAAATTCTTTCTTTTCAAACGGTGCTAGCAACAGTGATACTTTATCTATCTGAAATTTCAAAATTACGATTATTAGTTGTTTAGTCACAAAAATTAAAACTTTTGAAACATCAAGCCAAACTTATCAACTTGGAACAAAGATAAACAAAAATTATACTGGGACAAATGAAAACAAGCAATTTTTATATTCTAGGTTGATATACATAAAATATAAGATAACATCAATAACTCATGGGACTGAGTCACCCTGAATTCAATCCCTGAGACAAAATAAAAATAAAAAAATAAATAAATAAAACAGTAAGTTTCAGAATCATAATCCAACATGGGGAGGTATGTTCAACCAACATATATGTTAAATGATTCATGAAAGAAATATTAGAAAAGAAAAAGTGTATATTTGATGAAAGCGGCTGAACATCAAAGCCGTCAGGACCATTGCAGAAAAACCCTTGGCCTGCCGAGATTTATTGGTCTATCCAAGTGGGGAGTGGACAGTGTGACAGGAAAAAGTATTTGCAGTGATGCTATGCTATTCTGTGGTTGCATGGCCAATTCCTCAGCTAGAAGAAAAGACTTGTGATGGCCAATAGAAATATTATCAGGCATTCATGCAGTCTCAGCAAGCTGTTGCTGTGTTGCTTTTTGGGAGTGCCACCAGCACTTTGGAGAGAGCCAAGTGAGGCCATTCTCTAGCGCAGGGCTCCCCAACATTTTTTAGCCAGCAGACCCCTTGCATTCAAATATTTAAAACTACATATAGTACATGTAGTAAATTTAAGTTGTATAAATTAGCCAGTTCATTCCTAATTAGATGATGGAGAGGATATCACTATGAAAACAAACACTAAAAAGGTAGGTAAACTCAAGCCAAATTCAAAACTAACAATTTCAAATTAATGATTAATGAATTAATATGAACAGTAAGTGTTGGGTTTAATTTTGATAGCTGGAGACGGATGTCAGGTTCAGCATCTAGACACCTTTGGTATTTAGCTTTGGAGGCTGTGTAGATAGAAAATTCGGATTCTCATAAGTTAGTTGTGGCAAATGGAAGAACATGTTTTGCTTTTTCAATGAGCGGTTGAAATGTTTTGTTTTTCAGACGGAGTCAAAAATGGAGTAAGTATCGGGCTCAAAAGTAGATTTTGGTGGTGTCTGAAGTAATGTCTACCAAGCATTCGTATTCGATTGAAGATAGACTTTGTCAACTTGTTGGCTTTGTCAACATTAAAAATGGTTTGACCACCCATTCATGGTCTTGTAGCATTGTATCTCAAGCTGCTGGGAAGTAGTGCTCAAAGCACATCTCTGAACTTCGAAAGCGTTCACATATTTCATCGATCAACGTGCCATTTGCAGGCTCCAGTTTGTTTTCTTGTAAAAAATCTTTTAACACAGGAATACACTCTACCTCTTCCTCCTCAACAGATTCATGAGAATAATCAACCCAGGGTGTTGGCAGTCCTCACCGAGGTTAGGCTCCAGGAAGGGAGATGCTGCCAATAGCTAGGTCAATTCAGCATCAAACACATGCAGTTTCAAACCATCCGTACTCATGTTCATTCTTAAATATATTCACTCCTATTCATTCAATTAGGGTGGTGGAGTACTTGATATTCCTCCATCACCCTTTACACATAATATACAATTAAACATAATTGAAAGTTGATGGGGTACCCAATATTCCGCCATCAAACCTCTCACATCGCACATTCATGCCAGTAAGTAGACGAAGAAGAAGAAAAATAACTTTATTCTGGGACTGGTGTCCCCTAAGAATAATTTACATGAAATAAATAAAGGAAGTTCCTTCTATGAAGTCAAAAGTAAAAAAAAAAAAAGATCTTGGCACAATGTATACCAATAAGGCTGGACAGAAGAAAAAATTACGAGAATATTAAACAAAAATAACAAATGTTAATGTGAGGTCTCTGCTTGGAGGGAGAGGAGGTGATTGTACAGGTGGGATTTAAAGGAGGAAAAGGAGGCAGCGTGACGAATAGAAAGGAGAAGGGAGTTCCAGAGTTTAGGGGCTCGGATCAGAAAGGATCTTTCGAAGTATGGGTTGTATGTTGCGGAAGGATAAGGTTGATTGGGGATGAGCGGGTCTTACGAGTGAGATGTGAGGAGTTGAATTGGAGGGATTGGATGATGTAAGGAGGACGACGAGTGTGGATGGACTGGAAAAGAAAGCAATCTAGGAAATACTGTGCACGGAAGGAGGGGAATAGCCAAGAAAGTTGGGAATACAACCCCGACACCCTGGATCCCCGTGGGGTGCTGTACACAAATCTTATGCAACAATTCATAATATGCTTCCCCCTCCGAGAGACCACCATATGCCAAACAGCTATAATCGAAGAAGGGAAGTATAAGGGAAGATACAAGGAGTTTGCAGGTGGAGAAAGGTAAGAGAAGCCAGGACTGACGAAACAGGCTGAGGGAGGCAATAGAATGGCGGGAAATGTGAGAATGCCAGGAAAGGTTTTGGTTAAAGACTACTCCTAGGTTTTTAACCGAAGAGCAGAAGGGGATGGGATGGTTATTTAGCATGAGAGGTGGGATGCTGGGGAGGGAATTTAGGAGTTGTCTGGACCCGATAATTATGGCGGTGGATTGAGGACTAGGGAATTTTTATGGGCCCATTCGTTGATGGGGTTTAGGTCTTTTTGGATCTTGAGAATGGCCGAGTGAAGATCGGAAGGGTGGAAGGATATGTATATTTGGGAGTCATCTATACGTGATAGTTACAGGGCTGGATGGAGTCGGGCAGATCATTGATATAAATGGAAAAAAGGATAGGAGAGATGGTAGAGCCTTGGGGCACCCCAGATTTTAGAGGGAGGAAGGAGGAGGTAAGGCCAATGGGAAGGGAGACAGCTTGGTGGCGATTGGTAAGGTAGGAGTGGAACCAACGGATGGTTTTTTTTTTCCTCCAAGAATCGGAACAGGGGACTTAAATACTTGCTGTTGTGCTCAAGCACAATTCTCAAACCAGGTGTCATTCCTACACGCTCTCTATCGCACAAGAAGGACTCCTCAAGCAACCTTTCTCTGCATGTTGGGGGCTTTGGCAGTAAGTGTCCGTGTGTCAATCTTGCATGGCCTATCCTTAATCGGGTGAAGATGACCCTTCTAGAGTCAAGATTCTCCAAGGGCCACCCATCGACATTGATCTTAATACATGAGAGCTTTACTGTCGACTCAGACCATTGACACTATCACCCTCTTTTAGTTTTTTTATTAGATTCTTAGCGTCATAAGGCCAGATCTCGGTGGTTAAGTCCATAGGTTGGCGTGTTCTGGCCTTTTCATTACCCTCCATACCTAATTGTCCAAGTACCCAGACAACTCCAGGTCATGGTATCTCTCCAACAAGAGCACTGCGAGAGGGTCGATAAAAAAATATGGCCATATGAAGAAGACAAATTAGAATACATCATATATAAATTTCATAGATTATCTGAATATTTAGCTGACTTATTTTCCTATTTTTATCATTATACTAATAATTAACACTTTTTGTTCAAACTTGCTGAACTTTTATGGGTTTTTTAAATCTTAATATTTTTATCTTTGGGAGGGTAGTTTTCTGTAAATAATGTGTTTTTATTCAAATAAACACCTGTAGTTGTTTTAATTTTTGTACATTTTTATCTTAATAATCAATCATGGTTATTTTATTATATTAATTAATTAATTTTACTTTTCAAAAAAAAAATTATTTTAGCAGTTAATGTTTCATTTTTAATATTGCCATTTATTTTTGTAGTTTGGTCATTGCTGATCATTTTGCCATCTTCAGTGACGGTCAGAAACAACCAAATGACATTGCACAATATATTTTATTGCTAGATGCAATTATAATTAAATGTTTTAATGATACAAATTAAAGCCAATTAATAGAATTAAATCAATTCAATATCATGATCTTACTTTTTGCTCCTTTACCTACTGTAGTAAGTAAAACGTCACACCTGAGCATAATTCTTTGATGTATCTGATATACACACTGCTAAAATTTAACTAATATTAGGGCAAAATATACAGAGAGTGCAGTAACCGAGTGGTCAGGATGATGGACCTTCAACTCGTAGACCCTACAGTCATGAGTTCAATTCCCACCGTTACCCCAGGCATTTTTTTACACTACCCTTCCACCACATTAATATACTGTTCTCTGAATAATATGGGAAACATAAGGTCATTAAACAAATAATAATAAAAAATAAAGTAAAAATAAAAAATAAAAAACCAAATAGTTCAGATTTAGATACTACACTCTACTATTAGACTATTATTGCTGAGTTTGGTGTGGGATCCTATTCAGTCAATGATTAAATTAAAGAAATTTAACATTTTAAATTTAAGGAGTTAGATCTAAGCTCCCATAAACCTTGAAAATGGATACCTGCACCCGAAATATATATAAGCAATAAAAAGTAAAAAGAAAAAAAGACAAATTTCTATTATAGAATAAAATTATTGTAAACAGCAACAAAAACAAAAAAAAGTTTCATTTAAACTTACTTTTTCCCGGATTCGTTCGTGGCGTTTGCATTCAAGAACCCAAAACATTGACGTGAGAAAATCAGTGATTTGAGATTCCAGTGCCGCACTATCTTCCCCGTCGTTCGCATAATAAAGCGCGGTAACGTTAAAGTTGGAAGCCGGAGTAAAAGTAGGGGTGTTAGGTCCATGATTGACACCAAAGACTATGCAGCGGGAGTCATAGAGCGTACCAGTATACCTGACTTTCAAAACCTCGTGATGACGGCAGATCTCATTGAGCTCGGCTTCAGTGTGGCACTTGCCTAAAACATTGTTTAAATAAACACCTGTCATTATTTCCCCGGCGAAATAGCTTACCAACGGTGATAAGGCCAAGAAGCCTCCGGTGGGTCTGAAAATCACCCCATAGGTTGTTTCCAACTGGATAATCCCTGATGTACTTTGCCCAAATGGTCCTCTGTACGCCAAGCTTGTCCACGATCTTTACATTGTTGATCTTTTTGATTCTATCGTACACCTTTGAAAATCGATGCGGTTCAAGTTCTTCACCTAGTCAAAACAGAAATTAAACAAGATAACGAGAGTTGATTAATAAAAACACATATACATACAACAATAAATAAATTATTTACCCAAGTGTTTTACAAGGACCAAAAGGGTTGCATGGTCGTGAAATGTCTGCTCGAAGTCTGGATATGACATGTTTGGGTCATGAGTGGGACTTGAAAGAATTACACTCACAGCAGATCTCATTTGTGTTGGATGAATTTGACGAATGCTCAACAAGCAATGGACATTTTACCTGCTTCGGGCACAAAATAGCGAACTAGCAATACAGCAAAATTACATATAAGAAGCAATCCGGTTATAAAAAAACCTATTTACAGAGAAAACACAAAGATAATTTACATATCACTGATACATTGCAACAGCAATGAAAACTCAGATAGGAGGTTTCGTATTTCTACAGAAGAACCACTCAGCCCCAGGCACCACAAGCCGTGACATCACAGAAATTAATTAATCATATTTTTAAAAAAATTTTAAAATACACTTAATAATAAGAAAAATCCTTCTCTAAATACAAAGCATTAAACATTGCATACTAGCCAAAATATATGGCATCACACATTTTTTTCTAATATTACAAATAATGTCTTAATTATAAATAAAATATAAACATAATCTATTTTAAAACATTTACTTTACATACTTTCATAATTATGTATACCAGTTGTAATGGGCATTATTATTATTATTATGGCTAAATTTTTCATATACACTAGTTTAATTTGCATTATTACAAAGTAGATTAATTGTACACATTTATTTTTAAAGGCCTTCGACCACTGTGGGTCATTTAAGAAATGTATTCATGTATACATATGTATCACGACTCAATCCTAACAGTCCTTGACAATGTTAGGACTGAGTAGGACTTCAAGGAAATTTGAGTTCACCTGTAAAAAAACAAATTTATCATTATTTGGAGATCGTCAGATGCGGTCTGGTGTGACGTAGGTTTTAGAAAAACATTTTCTTTATCGTGGCAATGTTTGAATCTTTATTGAGATCATCTTCAGGGCCTACGATTTACAAACATTCTTTAATTTTAATAAATACATGTAGGATGTGAAAAAAATGAATTTATACAATGCTAGAAATTTTAGATTCAATCAAAGTATTTGTACTTACTCGAATTGTTTGTTTTCTGTGAAGATGTGTCATTCTTGTCTGTCGTGAAATACATACTCCTACATGTATTTGTAAAATTTACACGTTTATAATCCCAGGCCTTCAATAAAGAACAAAATGTTGGCACGATAAAGAAAATGTTTTTATAAAACCTACGTCACACCAGAACACATCTCACGATCTCCAAATAATCATTAACTAACAGTCACTAAACACCACACAAAATCTGTAGACATATTTAAGATTGTTTTGTCATGATGATGATCTTAAAATAGGTCGAGAGCTTGGCAATAACAACTGAATTTGCTTTTCTGTTCAAGATCATACCTAGATCCAGAGTGTTTGTGAAAATGATTTTTATAACATTCGGTTCAACACCCAGCAAACAGCAAAGAAAAATCTCAATACAATTATAATATATATCTATTCTATATCTCATTATTAATTATTTATGTTATGACATTTTTTTGGTTATTTTCACAAAATCCAGTCAATATGAATGCAATGTCAAAGGATGAAAAGTACTCAAAGAACAAACATTGTTTCTCATCTTGTATTTCTTTGTACATATTAAGATTGAATGTATTTATTAGTGTGAATGTATAATGTAAGAGGGCCAACGGCAGGATATTGAGTGCCCAATAGACCCTAAATTAGATTTTTTCGATATAGCTAGTATGTGAAAAGGGTGATGAAAGGATATCGATACTCCACCACCCTTCTTGAATGAAGAAATAGGAAAAAATTTATTTAAGAGTGAATGATAGTGCGAGTGATTTGTGAATTAGATTTAAAAAGTGATGCATTGAGGATGAAATGGCCTAGCTGTAGAAAGCCCCTGAAACCTTCAGTGGTAGGATGGATAAGACCACGTTCTGACCCTGGACTGCCAAAACCTGAGGTAGATGATTCTGGCATCCTGCTGGGAATGTCTGCTTTTTGTAATTTACAATAAATTACCAGAGAAACGTCATATAAATATCCCTAGTGGAAGGCTGTACTTCCATTGGTCATTGCCAATCATTTTGGTATGCATACCGCTATATACTGTACATTATAAGACATACTACTCTACATAACGTACTAATCTAATTGAGTGTCTCAATATTCCACCATTAGCTTCCTCACACTGCACATTCATACTAACAAATCCATTCAATCTCAATATATTCAAAGAAACTCAAGATGGGAATCTGTTTATTCTTTGATACTTTGAGTATTCTAACATTTTCATCCTCTGTTTGGTAAAAATAACAAAAAAGTCATAAAATAAATAATTAATAACAAGATATAATATAAATATATTTTGAGATTTCTCCATGTCAATACGGTGATGAATCTGCAAGACTTCTTTTGCATTTCACCATCTTCAGTGCTGAGACAGACAAAATGTGGAATCGTGTCTGACACACCAACAAAGCAGGGTAGACAGATCATAGACAGAAAATGATCAGTAATGACAAAATTCCATATATGTGTTATTGGCAGCACTTGTAAACTTTAGTTGTCAAGAATTGAATTTTTGTTTTGAAAATGACAATTCTTGCATTTACTTTCATCTAGTTTTTTTTTATGATAATCAACTACTTTGTCAAGACCTTTACAACCCGATATAAACAATTAAAAAGAAATACTACAATTTTTCAAGAACTTTAAACAAATGTTTGATTGTGAGATTTCACCAAATCGTAGGTGATGACCTGTAATTTGGTCATTGCTATTTTGATTTGTATACCCTCGCTCGTTTGGTCAGAAGACTCAGGTTCGATTCTGTGCTGTGTATGTACATTTACGTGTGCAGAATTGAGCTTATATAAATCAATAACCAGTACAAACTTGGTTTATTCTCAATGGAATAATTTACTGAATCAATTGTAACTATTATTAATGAGCACTGTTATTTGCATCAACTACTGGTAAATAATAACAGACAAGGAAAAATGATAAAATGGAAACTCACTGAGTCAAAAATTGTCATTTGTGGTTTCATTTATGTGGATTTACCATTTGGCAGATGCTAATAATTACTTATTTTATAATTAATTTGGTTGATTATATTCTTAGAATCCAGACCATGTCAATGGTTTAATACAAATGGTTTAATAATCAATAATTTGTTTAAGAAAATTAATTATCTTTTTTGTAAGTAGGTCTTTGTGATTAATGTATTTCTTTTATAATAATAATAATGCTTTATTAATACAAAATGTTTACAAAACAAAACAAAATTTATTTATTTATTTATGGATCATAATCCACTATAAAAAAGACATTTTACAATAACAAAAAATAAAAATAATATATATAAAAAAATAAGGACATATATACATGGTAATATTATAAATGGTAAATATAAATGATAAATATAAAAATACAATTAAAGAGTAAAAACTGAACAACAACAAAAATGAAAGACATAATTACTAACCAAATAAGGCAAAGGAAACAAAATAAAGCTGAAAGACAATTGAAACTACAATATTTAAGTACATATTTAATGAAAATAACGCTCTTTGTAAATGTATAATAAGACTAGAGTGCGAGATTCAGGTGAACCAGTAAATGAAATAAATTGTAATAAATTTTGAACAGTATAAAATATAAAAGCATTCAACTAAACTAAGGTTCACAAATTGCACAGAACTATTGAAGAAGTCAATGCTATTGCAGATGTTGTTACTCTTGATCATCGTTCTGTGTAGAGGGAAAGAGAGCATGAAGTTAGAGCTTTGGAAAATATATGCCCTAATATAAAATAACGGCATGGATATTTTTATTTCTTTGTTATAGATTTATTATTCTTCATTTCTTTAGTTGATTTTTTATTTCTTTATTTTAGATTTTTTATTTCTTTTATATATTGTATGGAAGGATAATTTTTATACTTGGCGCCCTAGGCCGATTGTGGGTGGGTCAGCACACACTACAGTTTAAACACGTTTAACAAAAAAACTAAACTATTTTAATAAATATCAGTAAGTCAAATGTATAAAGTGGATAATAAACATTAAGTGTGATTTGTAAGAGAGTTTTATATGAAAAAAAGAAAAAAACTAAGCTGTGGGTCTAATTCAAAAGGCACGACAGTGGTTGCGGACAAACTAGTCCTTGCCTTAGCCACCATTGACATTTCTTATTTCATTGATCAATGTTTGGAGGTGTGTAGGGTTTTATTTAGATTATTTTTTCTATTTTTTATTATTGCCTTAGATTCAAGTACTTCGGTACTAAATTAAGATTGGTGATGTATTTAGGATTATCTATTTTAATATTCAGTGCTTTTATAACATTGGGGCTCAGGCCGTCTTTCGCTGAAGACGTGAGTATTTTTTTTTTGTCACCTATTATTTTCTAATTTTTTTTTTAACATTCTCCTATCTGATAATGAAACGTCTAGCGTTGACAAGTCGGGATAAAAGGCGGAAATCCGCTGGTACGCCTTCGTTTTAATTGTTTATCGACCGGATTATTTGTGTTATTGACTCGGTGGAAGAGCCGAGTCCGGGTAGCACCTAGGGGCCGTGCGCCCCGCAATCACCGTACGGTCGCACCTGTCCGACTTTTATCGGAAAATTCGAGGCCGTCCTTGGGTAAAGCGGTTGGAAAATGCGCATTTATGGGGGGAAATGCGTCAATACACGTTTTGGACAGTTTTCCGACTTTTTTACGGCCCTCTTCCAACCATGTCTAGACGCAAAAACGGAACTGAATTACGAAATATTTCCGTCGAATTGCCACCTTCCTTTGTACCTTCATGTTGAACATTGACTTTATAAAATAATTACCTTACCAAAAAAGAGTCAATAAAATAAAGATAACTACTCACCTTCCCTAACCATCGCAAACCAACACTACAATACATAAGCTTTTTTTAAATCAAGACAATGTTTTTTTCCAATTTCATTTATATTTATTTATTCAAACCAATAATTTACTGTTCTTTTAACAGTTTTTGCTAAAAACTAATTTGCAATTTTGAGTTTTAATGCCGTCATAATTCAATAACAACTAACCCAATTTTTGATCTCTTTGTTTCTCCAAATATGAAAATAAAAACATTAAAATATCAACATTATTTGTTTATATTTTTACCTTGACGAAATGAACAGTAACATGAACACAAAGTCAATAGTAAATAAAATAAACAAAACTGATTCAACAACTATATCATAAAAAAAAGTCTTTGTTCTAAAAATTGTTTCATAAAACTATTATATTCCTATTCGAATTTGCACTGATTATTTAATAATAAGTAAAATACTGTTCTAAATAAAAATTGCACTGTGCATTAAACAAATTGGCTATATAAAGTAATTTCTCTCTCAAAAAAGAGTCAATACAATAAACATAACTGCCTGCAAATCAACTATAATATATAAGCTTTTTTTAATCGAGACAATATTTTTCCTAATTTAAATTATATTTATTTATCCAAACCATTAGTTTATTGTTCTGTTAAAATTTATTACTAAAAACTAATTCGTAATCTGGAATTTTATAATGGTGTCATAATTCACTGACAACAAACACAATTTTTGATTTTTTCTCCAAATCTGAAAAGCTGTTTCATTAAACAGTTTGAATGCATTATACAGATAAAAGCATTAAAATATCCTCATTATTTGTTTATATTTTTATATGAACGAAATTAACAGTAACATGATCACAAAGTCAATAGTAAATAAAGTAAACAAAACTGATTCAACAACTATATCATAAAAAAAGTCGTTGTTCTAAAAATTGTTTCATAAAACTATTATATTCCTATTCGAATTTGCACTGATTATTTAATAATAAGTAAAATACTGTCCTAAATAAAAATTGCACTGTGCATTAACCAAATTGGCTATATAAAGTAATTTCTCTCTCAAAAAAGAGTCAATACAATAAACATAACTGCCTGCAAATCAACTATAATATATAAGCTTTTTTTTAATCAAGATAATATTTTTCCTAATTTAAATTATTTTTATTTATTCAAACCATTAGTTTATAGTTCTGTTAAAATTTATTACTAAAAACTAATTCGTAATCTGGAATTTTATAATGGTGTCATAATTCACTGACAACAAACACAATTTTTGATCTTTTCTCCAAATCTGAAAAGCAGTTTCATTAAACAGTTTTGAGTGTATTATACAGATAAAAGCATTAAAATATCCTCATTATTTGTTTATATATATATACAGTATATTCCTTTTCAAATTTGCACTGGTTACTTAATAATGATTAAAATACTGTTCTCAGTGACAATACATGTTAAATATATCGGCTATATAAAATAATTACTCCCTCAAAAAAGAGTCAATAAAATAAATGCAACTACTCAACTATAATACATTAGCTATTTTTTTAATCAAAACAAAATTTTTCCTAATTTAAATTATATGTATTTAACTGAACCATTAGTTTTATTGGGCTGTTAATAGTTTTGGCTAAAAACTAATTTGTAATCTGGATTTTTCAATGCTATCATAATTGAATGACATCAAAATTTTTGATTTCTTTTTCCAATAGATAAAAAATTAAACAATCAACATTATTTTGTTTATATTTTTATGTTGGAGTATGTAAACAATATTAGAGATAACCTTAAAGTTAAAAATATTCTGATATAAACTTATAAATTTAAGTTTCTATTTAATATAAGTTTGATCCTTCTGGCTTTTCCTGTCTAGTCGGTCCCATTTCATTCATTCGCAAAGTAGTTGAAAGGAATTGGCATCGCATCCCAGATGTAATCAAATTGCTGTCAAATGTTTGTCATACAATTATTTAAGTTATTCGTTAAAATTTTGAGATAATGGTGCTCTCACATGAAAGCTTGGTGGAAAAAAATTGATTTTCACTGATTAACTCGTCCGCCAAGTTTTGCCAGCTTTATCATTCAAATAGGCTTTTGGTTGCTCAAAGCTAGTGGATTTTCTAGATTTAAATGTTAATACATCTTTTGAAAGAAAATTTAAATTAAATATTCACAAAGTTGGAAATTATTCTACTAAAAGTCATTTTACTTACGTGTCAAGTTTATTGTTACTGTTAACATTCCATCCTAAAAATCAGTTTGTATTATGCATTTTAGAATGCTATCTGGTTTAAGGATAGTGAAATATGTTTTTGTCTAAAAGCATTTATTTAAACATAAAAATGTAATAGCTGATTATTTTAAAAAAAGTGTTTTTAAAGATACATACATATTTTTAGATGAAAATGAATTAATTTCTTTTGCCTAATAAGCAAGACAATTGAAAATAAAAAAAGAATATTACACTAATTTTATATGTAGTGTGATCTATCTTCTCTTGACTAATTTGCTTATCTACATATTTGTATTTCTGTCTTATGTTTTATTTGCGTTTATCTTCCAAAAGAGCTGCATTTATTTTTTCTAAATGCTTAATAAATTGTCAAGAAAATAAGTCTACTCGAATAATGAATGTTTTTCTAAAACCTATATCACACCAGACAGCATCTCACGATCTCAAAATAATCATTGACTAACTGTCACTAAACGCCACACATTGTATGTTTAATTTAATAAGAATGAATATGACCAAAAAATTAATGTTTTACTTATTTCATGTGCTGAAACTGAAACAAGATTTACTTATCACTGATTTTAACTTTCACCTACTAGTACCGACAAGGACCTTGGTATCAGCGATTTTTATGAAACTTTTTTTTATGATGGTTCAAAAATATTAGACACTTGTATGAGCGTTTGTGCCAATGGAGCTGTGAATTTTTGTTTTAAATATGGGTTTTTGTCACGCATTATTTCAAGGTGATAATGTATCAGTTGATTAATTTTTAAAAAATGTATAATAAGCAAATTATATGCAATATAGTATTAAAACGGATAGGTTGTAGACTATCTACAATCTAGTTGGAAAACAGCATAATAATGAGTATTACATTTGAAATCTGGAGCACTGCAAAACCAGTTTGTGAGTAGAACCATTATTTCTAACTGCTGAATTGGTATAACCATTTTTTATAAAACCGAAAGATGCTTCCAAAAAAGTAGTTCAAAAGGATTTGTTTATTATATTAATTTTTTGTCCTTGACTTTTGGCAAGAATGCTCGGACACGTGTTGAACATTTTTCGACCTAGTATCACCAACTAAATTATAATATTATAATTATTTATTAAAATTGGAGATCTTATGTCTGTTGCCTCCTCTTGTCAGACAAAATGTTTTTATGTTAAATTTAGCTTTTTAGTACATACTAATTTTTTACATCTATGGGTTGGCGGTCCTATCTGGGATGCCATACAGGCTGGTTTTCCGGTTGATCTGGGTAATTAGAGCCTGGATAGTAGGTTAGGCGTAGATTTTTCCAAAGTAATGTAAATGGTTTTTATCCATATCTCTCTGATACGTCCATAGTAAGAAAGGGATGTCCCTAGTAGTCTTGGTTGTATTAGCCTTGGCGGTGGTGCCGGTGGGGCTGCCAGCTGCTGAACTCCTCGTTTGGCTTTAAGTACATGGCAGATGTGATTTCCACAAGGCCATTAAATATATATATTATAATAATTATCTTCCCAAAAAAAGTCCATAAAATAAGAAAAACTGCTTATATATGAAGCATAATATGTTCTGCAATAATTAAAAAGAAACGTATACAAATGGATTAACATTAAATTGATTGACATTCCTTTATAAAAATTAATTATTTTGAATTACTGACATTCTCTGTTACGATAAAATGTGTAAATACTCTATATTGGCTTTAACTGTTTTATTTAAATAAATAGAAACAATGAATAAATTCATGATATGTTCAATAAATGTTCTATTTTGACTAACATGATATTACACCTCAGTAATTTTTATTAAGAATTCATTCAGAAGGAAAAATATTAATTAAAATCATGGTAAATTAATTTTTTTAATTATTACTGTAATAAAAGTTTTTCTATGTAGAAATAATATAATGATATAAAAAGAAATTTCTTAGTGCCTGCTGACAAGTTATTCCAAATCTTCAAAATTAATTTAGAAAATTTAATGTTTTCTAAGATATGGTTATAAAATTGTTTAAATAATTGTTTTTTGTTTCCATTTGTGTATGAGTAAATATTAAAAAGTGAAACTTTTTTCGTAAATAAAACGTGTCATTAAATTGATAGTTTTCCCCAATATTTTCAATAATCGACTGTATTTATATCACCCAATTTTATCACTAACCATTAACCTTTGATCTTAATGCACAAATAAATGTGAGATTGACGTTAATTATCGTCTCCAAACATGTTATTTTCAATTCCCTTTTAACGTAGAATAGGATGTTTCTTTATCAAGCTTATAGTAAAATCATCGTTTTTTTATCAGTGTATTGCTATTTTGACAGGAAAATGTTGATTGTATGTATCTTTTCCTCTAGTTGCGATTTTATATATCACCTGATATGTAAAAATGCAGTTTTAAATGGAGAATGCACTATCTTGGATTTTAACATTAAAACCAGAATTATTGTATTTGTTTAATTTAAAATATGGATAGTGAGGATTCAAGTATGCCTTCTTGAAGTCATGTTCAGATAGTGATATTGTGCTTGGCCAGCCCACACACACACAGCGCCTTCCTGAACCTTTGATCTATAAAAAGACTTGGTTGTTGTTTTACAGTTACTTAAGAGGAAGGAGAACACACCTTTTATAAGTACCAAACCTTTAGATTTCTTCAGACGCCAATTTTTACATTTTGAGACTCTGATTCAGCACCAGGGAATTTCAAATATAGTCAGTGTACAATAACTGGTGCAAACTATTTAATAGATATCTGACAGTTGGCCCAAGAAACTTTGTCAAATATTTTTCTCAATGTTAAATCAAGGAAGTTTTACATACATTTAAATTGTTTGCTTTTAATTCTTTCCTCTCCTGGTATAGTTGATTGCAAATTTATAATATTGACGTATGGTACATAAATTGAAAAAGAGGTGATTGGTAGTAAACTTCTCTTTCTCTCTCTCTCTCTCTTCTCTCTCTCTCTCTCTTCTCTCTCTCTCTCTCTCTCTCTCTCTCTCTCTCTCTCTCTCTCTTTCTCTTAAATTGGATTTTTGCCAAGAGGTCTTATGACGTTTCAAAAGGAGTAACAGGAATGACCTCCAAAGTAAATTTGCCAAGTGGTCCATTCAGACCTATTTAAACGCGCAGTAGTTTGCCGCTTTATCAGAATAGATAATCCTTATGAAAAATTGATTGCAACAAGGTTTTTACAATTTTATGTATCAACTTGCTACACTATAAATAATAACAATATTAATAATTTAAAGGTAGATCAATAATTTTCAAATTTAAAAGAGTTGGTAGGTTGTTGATTGGTGAAATGGGGGAAAAAAAAAGTTTGTCTAGGCCTCAATGAAAGATGTTTAGAAATCATCATACTGTAATAGCGATTTATCTTGCTTTCTTTGCATTTGTTTTAAAAATAAAAGGATTTTATAAGAATTATATTTTAATAACACTGTAAAAATTAATGGCTAATATTTTATTTTATGATTATTTGGAGATTGTGAGGTGTGATGTAGGTTTTAGAAAAACATTTTCTTTATCATGCCAACGTTTCAATCTTTACTGAGATAATCTTCAGGGTTCAAAGCATTTGTTTTCTGTATAGATGTGTAATTCTTGTCTGCTGTGTTGAGAGTTTACACAGAAAACAAACACTTTGAGCCCTGATGATGATCTCAATAAAGTTCGAAACGGCATGATAAAGAAAATGTTTTTCTAAAAACATCACACCAGACCACCCCTCACGATCTCCAAATAATCATTGGCTAACGATCACAAAACACCACACATTTTATTTTATAGAATATCAGACAAAGAAAATATATTAAACATTCATGGAATACAACTATTAAATTAACTCTTGTATGTTTAGTGGTCATTTCACCCTTTTAATTATTTCAATTAATTATCCTTTTTATCTAAGGTCTTGGTTGAGATGAAAAAGTTAGTGTGATGAGCGGGATTCGAGCCCATTGAAAAATGGCAAAAAGAGGGAAAATTCAAAAGGTTTTAGGTTGAGATGAGGAGTAGGGGTCTGACTGGATCTAACTCATCTAAGTCACAATAGCTCAAGTGGCTAGAGCAGCGGCGTATTTAGCCGAAAATTGTGGGTTCAAATCCCGCTCATGACAAACTTTTTCATCTCAACCAAAACCTTAGATAAAAAGAACAATTAATTGAAATAGCTATTAAAAGTAACTCTTGATGGGTGTCAGTGGCCCCAAAGTTGGACCCAAACCAACAGAGGCCGTGGTCCTCTCATGGAATATAGTACAGTGAAGTAATAGTTGAAATATTTTGTTGACTGTAATATTCTGATAAGATTGTTAAACAAGCTTTTTATATTTGAAGCTAAAGAAATTTAATTTACATAAATATATAGAGTAGAAGAAGATTTACATGGAATTTATGTCCACCGCAAGATGTTGGATGCTTTTGTACTATTAGATTATTTTGCTATTGAGGTAAAAGATAGACCCAAAACCATCTATCAAGACAAAATTATACAACTTTCTTTACTCCCTTTTACATGTACCTATTGTCCAGCCTATAATTTTACCTATTTGGCAGCAGACTGTGCTATTGAATTGAACATAAAATTTAATATTAATCCATTTACGTTTTAGTGGTCAATTGACCAAGTTACTTCTTTCAATTAATTATTATTTTTATGTAAGGTCTTGGTTGAGATAAAAAAAGTCAGTGTCATGAGCGGGATTCGAACCCACGACCTTTAAATATGCTGCTGCTCTACCATCATGACTTTGATCCTCTCGGACACCGTTTATCTCAACCAAGACCTTACATAAAGAGAACAATTAATTGAAAGAAGTAACTTGGTCAGTTGACCACTACAACGTAAATGGATTAATAAGCGGTGTATTTAGCCGAAGCTCATGGGTTCGAATCCCACTCGTGACACTGACTTTTTTATCTCAACCAAGACCTTACATAAAAAGATTAATTAATTGACAAAATTTAATGATGAATCTTTGACAGATTGTCATAGTGTGCAGTTCCAGTATACTTGTAACCTCAGAAACTTGTTTTCCATAACTTGCAGCCTGGAGAATATAGACCTCCAGATGGGATTTTTTTGGCTGGTGACATACTGGAACTTGAACTGGAATTCAGAACATAGGGTACAATAGCTAAATAGCTTCTTTACTCTTGTTGACTATACATGGGAAGTAAAATGAGCTTATGGTCCATAATCATGCCAAGATTGGACTGACTTGGGCGTCTAAAAATTGGACCTTTTGTACAGCAACAGCCTAACTTGCTGAAAACTGTTGCCTCTATTTTATTATGATAAATTTTATTTTTACAATGGTTGAAAAAACTTTCAGTGTGGTGCATTCCGTCGTTTAACCTGTTTGGTAGAAGTGTTGGTGGTCACAACATTCAGAGCTTGAGACTGATTACTATCCCAGCTCCCAGGTTTCAATCTCAGCGGCCCTGAATTCAACCCCAAAATATCAAATTTTCCGCCTCCCAAAAACACCAAAATCTTAGAGATGAATATGAACTCTTCTGTTGCAAAAAATAAAATAAATAAAAATCTGTTTGTATATTGCATCAAGGGGAAGGGTAGAGAGCAATGTGATCAGATAAAATTAGATTATGTATGTATAATTTTTTTTTATACACAAATGTCAATTGTCATATTTGAATGATTGATTATTCCTAAAAAAATAATGAACTTGTCACAATTATGAAAACTATCTAATCTGCTTATTATTAAATTAATGTTTCTTTTAATTTTTACAACAACTGGCATAAATTTTATTTATGAACATTTCAAGCCTTAACTTTTTTATTTATAAGATGTTATGCCAGTTGTAAAATTTTCCAGCGTTTTAGCAATTTCATTCAGAAGGATGGTATATTATATAGATGTAGCAAAAAGTTAATGAAGTTAATGAATGTCATAAAGTGGTCATCTGTGAAGTTAATTAACTTCATAGTGGTCATCTATGTGTTTTACATATGCTTTTACTACCTCAAACTCAATTTGCGTGTCACAACAATACCAACGCTTTTCATTTCATTTTTCAGTTTCTTTATTACCATGTTACTGAGTTTTTCTATTTTGCATTTCACTTTTAACTCCAGTTTTACCAATCATGTTTATCGCTTTGAATTAATGTATTATTTTTGTGGAATTTGCCTTGCAGAAAAAAGCAACGAGTATATCGAATTGGCCTATTAAAGATAGTGATATCTACATTGACGATGGACTTGAAGGTTCAGGTAACAATCAAGAGATGAGAGAGGATCTCGAATCCAGTGGTTCTGGTTTCGGTCCTGATGACGAAGACGGTACAGAAGACGATCCTGGTGAGTGTTTAGAGTTGGAAAAATTGTACAAAATCATGTACTTTGTAAGTCTCAGAAGAACAATCGATAAAGTAGTTTTAAGATCTGTGAGCTGGAAGTGGGAATGTTTCATCTTGTAATTTATAGCTCTTATTAAACTGCTCACTCCGTTAATCTTAAAATTACAGACAATCAATTTTCCCCTTTTATCACGTAAAAGATTAGTTTGAAATTGAATGTATTAATTGACCTGGGGATTATGATTGAGATTTGATGATTCAGTGATTTTTTTTTTCATGAAATGCAGTTATGATTTAGCTAAAAAAAAAACTAATGACATTTTTCTTACTGCCTCAGCAAAGTTTAATAAGAAAAAATATTTTTAAAACTATTTTTTAATTTTTAAATGACATTATTAGGAAAAAGTAAAACAAATATAAAAAAATTGTTTTTATAATTAGTTGAAATATCACTTATATATTGCATTGTATAAGGGTGGGGGGGGGAAATAATTAAAATATATTTTTATTGTGGCAGTCAAAATGTATATTACTTTTACAGAAGAAAAACACAAAGACAAAGGTTCAAAGCCAACTTTATTTAACAACAAAGAAGACCAAAGCCGAAACATTTTGCCAGTAAACACTAGAACAAATATAGAGGTAAACCACCGATAACATTTTTTTTACTGTTGCTTGGTATTAACACCTCTTGGTCTTTTTTAGGTCCCAGACATTGATATAGAAAACACAAACAGCATCACAAATACAGTTCAAAAGGAAGAGGACTCTGTTGAGGTCAACAGGCACGGGAACGGTGTTATAGTTATGAATACGAAGCACGAAGAAAGAGCGACATCATTCTTTGCCCAACCTGGCATACTTGCTGGTAAGCTGGAACATTCATGATACATTAAAGATATATGAGTTATTATTTATCGGGAGAACTTGAGACCCAGTTAAATAAACCATTTTGACTTATACATAATATGATACAAATAATTACTTTCAGATTTTTGACATTTTTGTAAACTCATGTTTAATTTCTAACTTAATCATAGAAAATAATTCAATATTATACTAATTAAAAATTATTGCTTGCTAGATATTCATTGCCCAAAAATTTTAGGCAATTTGACATATTATAAAGGCAACTTTATTTTGAAAGTTGCAGTGACTTTATTATGGAAGACACAAATTTAATTAATAAATTTACAAAAGGTTTATGAAACCGTGTCAGCAAATAATAAATAATTAATTAGAAGAGGTTGAGAAAAAAAATATAAAAAAATGTTGATGACTACGTGAATATTTTGCTTATTATGCAGTTTTGTTCATTACGAAAACAGTGAAGAAACCAAATAAAATTTTGGAATTTTTGAGTCTTTCCTTTAAGAACTAGGTTTACCATAATTGTTAATTTTAAAAACAACTTTTTTTTTGGCTCGCAGTCAAATTAATGAATCAATTATAAATGCTTATACCTGTTTCGTTACTCAAGTGAAAATACTGTTTTATTGAAAATACAGGAAGAAATTTTTAAAAGTTTTATCCAGTATTAGAGTTTGAACACGAAGTACTTAAAAATGAGTTTTTTAAATCTACAATAGCTGGGGTTAATGCGATTCTGCTGTAAAGCAAACCCCGTAATAAATAATAATAATAGTTTTTCCCTAACAGGGCCTCAGAGGAGGTAGGTATGAAGGAACAAGGTCAAAATTATAAGGTGTGGTTGTGGCTCAGTTCCATTTATTTTCTCAGTTTTTGCATTGTAAGTTGAGAATTATGTCGTGTAACAAACTTTCTTCCCATTCACGTCGAACTAGGAAAAGAATTTGCAGATTGTTATGATTAGATCACAAATTTAATAAATTGACTGGATTAGTGGATAAAATAGTGAGCACGGTCATTTTTCATGTAGTTGAGGCAGAACAGCAAATTCATTTTTGTTCTGGATAAATTATTTTTTTACCGTGCTGCATGCCAAAAACAGCCGACCTGATTCTTGCTCCCTTTGCAGGCTTGCATTACCATGTTTGCGTTTTGCTTATTTAGTGTGAAGTGTTTTCGTATCGCCTCCTTATCAGATTATTAGGCAAAATGGAATTTGTCTATTTCATTATTGTAAGAATCCCATTAAAGAGTTAGGGATTGAAGAAATATCAATCAAGGGTACAATGAAAAGGTACATTAGCAAAATAGCAAAGGATAATTAATTTGAGAAAATTTGCACCATTTTGACCCTTTCATTGATAATGTCCTTTCCTTTTTTAAATCTCCTTCTTTTCTTGTAAAGACAAAAAAGCTGAGAAATTCAAAATTCTGGTAGTAAGCTGGTGGAATCATTGCAATATTCAGCTCTTTTTCATTTTCAGGTGCTGACGACATCGGTGGAGGGAATTTTCAACTTAATAACGACACTAAAAATATAACCGATTCTAACAATAATTCGTATAATTCTTCTATTGGAGTGGTGACCAACTCATTTAATAACAATCAACCAGACCGTTTTACTAATACCACCAATAGCCCTGAGACTCTCAATATTTTAAGATCTATTTTGTACCAAGATAAGATTTCTGACCATTGTTTTTTGAATGAGGAAATGATGTTTTTTAAATCACTACAGCCATATATAAATGGTCTCGATACTCAGCAAAAACTAACTTTTAAAATTAAGGTTCTACTAGCCTTAAAAAATATTATCTCCAAGCATTAAAATATAACTTCCTCCAATTATTACCTTAAAATCATACAAAAATAGATACAGTATCATTTTATTATTATTATTTTGAGTCACAATATCAAATAAATAAATAATGTTTATATATGATAATAATTGTATATTTTGTTTAAATAAATATTATAACGAAACCTCACAAACAGTTAATGTACTCAAATCTTGTCATAATTAACAAAAATCCAATTGTGGACTATGAATGTAGTAGTAACAGGTTAATATAAATGTTCATGGAACAACTATCACGATATAATTAATTCAATTTTAATAAGAAATATATCAAAATGCAGGTAACATCTTCAAAGTTAATTATTAAAAAAAAGTTAAATATTTCTGATAAAAAGTAGTTATAATTTCTAATTTGCACACAAAAAATCATTTTATCAATTTGGTAATTTCAGATATTAACTTAATAATTAACCCATCTTCACTGTTATGTGCTTCTCTATTAGAATTAATAAGTTAAATATATATAATATAGTGCTCCATTTTTTAAAGAATTAACTTAAATAACTAATAACAGAGACAGCAAATATTGTCAAAGCTGAACTGTTAGAAATAAAACATTGAATGGAAATAATTCCTTTAATTTAAAAAATAAAAGTTAGTATCTCACATTGTAAAATAAACATTTATACGTTTTGTAAAAAGTTTTTGCAATATTACCTAAGTTACACTAGTTTAACAAACATTGCAGAAATCGAATTACTTAACCCAAAAATGAAACAAAATAGAATTAGCTCTCTTGTAGGAAGCCTTGCGATCTTTCTAATGGAACTTTTTGGACTTGATTTCTACTTGTATTTACCCTCCACACATGGTGAATAGGCTCTAAAACTGATTTTCTCTTTATTTATAAACATCTAAACAAAATTAAACTCACCTATGTAATGTAATACTTATGCCCTTCATAAAAACTTAATTTTTTCTATACTGTTATTATTACTATGATTTTACTTACTTTTTTAAGCAGTAGGGTCTGGTTGGTACTAACTGGCTGCACTGTTTCATAGTTATGAGGTCGCTACTTCCTCTAAATTATTTTAATATTTGAAGGGGGTGCATTATACTTTGATTTATTACTTGTCCTTCATACAAATTGTACTAGGCCTTGTTCGTGTTAGTTTTTATATTTTTCATGTTGAATTTTGTGGCTTTTGATATGTTTTGTTTTTGTTTTAAATATACATTAATTTTTTTTTTTGTAGCTGTCATCGGCGGCGCTGTTGTTGGGCTTCTCTGTGCAATACTGGTCGTCATGTTCATAGTCTACAGAATGCGCAAGAAAGATGAAGGCTCTTACGCGCTGGATGAACCTAAAAGATCTCCGACGTCAAACTCATATTCAAAAAATTCAAATAGAGAGTTTTATGCCTGAGAGTTGCATCCAACACCTCTCCATTCTTACATTGAACAATAATGTTAACAAAGCAAATAATTTAAACCCATTCCTTATCTACCTGATTAATTCTCAACTACTTTTTTGACTTTGTGCCATTATCGATTTTATTCTGTTACTGCCATTGTGACATATGTTATCAATGATTATTTATTGTGTTTTGTAGTTTATTTACTTTTGAACTGTAACCAAATAATTTCAATATATTTTTTATATAGAATTGTATTCGCATCACTTCTCCATTCCCTATTTCTAATACTTACCTTTTATATTTATATATATATATAACAAATTGTGCATAATATTCGTATATTTTGTGTATAAATGTGTGGTGGATGCTTTCGTGTGTAATTTTAATAATTCACCAATAACAAATAAATTCTTATACGTATTGTATTATTAAAAATGGAAATCAACTCTGTATCATTGAATATCAAAAATAATAAACATTCGTTTCTAAAAATTTTAACAATACTATAAAAAGGAAAATGGAGAAGCTAGTGCTTACAAAAAGTAAATAAATAAACTGGTAGACTTTCTTGTAAAGTTGTTTCATTTCAAAATGTTCGCTCTCTAAAGTAGTTCTAAGATAGTCTGATTTAATTGTTAAACCTGTAAATTAAGCTGTTAATTTGAAAGCGAAAAAAATCCTAACTGTAAAATCACGCTGGACTGCTGTTAGGTGAACAATAAAGGATGAACAAATAAGCACAGGCCAGTGAATGTGGTTGTGACCTGATTAAAAATATAAGCAATCTGTGCTTACTGAAATTAATCATAACCATTTGTGTATATATATTTTTTGGTTGTTTCAATAATGCTCCTAGAATCAGTAATGTAGTTATTATAAATAATGTATTAGGTCTTATTAATTTATATTGATTATAATATTTAATTAATCATTTTGTAAATAAAAGGTGTTCTACTAAATTATTCATATTATTAATTGTGATTTGAATTCCGAAGAGTCTCAAGGATCTTATTAAAAAAAAATAATAATAATAATAAATTCTTGACTATTATGAGAAATTATATTTTGCAATAATGTATTTTTTAATGTCTGGTTGTAACAATTACTTCGAACAATCTGTCTTGTGCATTAGGTGTCAGATCAAATCACTTGCTATATAATTATAGTCATAGTTCATTTGTGTAATGTTCACTTACACAAGGCGTAACTAACGTTGTATGAATTATTATTCCCTCCTAAAATATAATATTGCCATTATTAATTATATATTTTTTATGAAGAGTTATAGAAATATGGCTATTCAGACCAATTTACAATTTGCATTTTTATAATTTTGATTTGTTAAAATTTGTTTATTAATTATCTAAGACTTTGTAATGTACAAATATGTTTTAACTAGTTAATTATTTTCTTCTTCTTTTTTAAGTTTGTTTATATTTGATTCCTTTAGTGATTTAAGTGTAAGATTCCAAAAGTAATAAACAAAAAACAAAAAAAATTTCCAGCCATATCTCATGGTATCCTTATACCATATCCAAATCTCAAAAGTATATATATTATATATATAGATAATATAAAAGCTTAATAATAATATAATACATATTGTATTTTCACAGTATATGTCGAAATCACACAATAGAATAAAGATTAGTGTGTGGCTGATGAAGTACTACAAGAGAACAAAAATTATCTTGTGTAATTGTATATTATTTAATTACCTACATACTTAACAAAGTATTGTATCTAAATAAAAATTTTGTTATACCTGAAAATTGGTTGTAACTTATGACTAATCCCCTCCTTACCAAAATGATAAAGAGGACAGCAAAGAAAACTACTAATAAAATCAACAAAGAAGAATTTCAAAAGAACTAATGCTTAAATAGATACAAAACATGCTAAGTTAACTATCAAAAAGGAGCGGTGAAAAGGAAAAAAAAAACCTGTCAGGGAAGATACTATTTATAGAGACACTGATGGATCTAGGACGCAAAACTGCATAAGCAGTAATTCACTACTTTTGTGGTCCGCTTGACCAATTAATAATACATGACAATTAATTAAGGTTTTTAGTTGAGATGAAAAAAAGTTAATGGCACGAGAGGGATTCGAACCCACGACCTTCGGCCAGATACGCCGCTGCTCTACCACCTGAGCTATCGTGACCTCGATCCACTTGGACATCAACTCCCCACCTTATGAGTTTTCCCTCTGCCATTTTTCAAATGTCGTGTAATCGGTTTGGATTCTCGACGACAATTGAAATGGCGACGGAGAGCTTTATTGAAGTGTACTTCATTTTTAAATCATTAATTCACTACTTTCGTGGTCCGCTTGACTAATTAATACATGACAATTAATTAAGGTTTTTAGTTGAGATGAAAAAAGTTAATGGCACGAGAGGGATTCGAACCCACGACCTTTGGCCAGATACGCCGCTGCTCTACCACCTGAGCTATCGTGACCTCGATCCACTCGGACATCAACTCCCCATCTCAACCCCACCTTATGAGTATTAAACAAATAATATGAAAACAATTACAGCTGTCATTTCAGATAGCCAGGTAGACACCATAACATTAGGCCTCTTTCAGATGGAGTTTGGTTGATAATTAAGTTGCCTGGTTGTCTCTCATGTGAAGACTTTTCCCGACTGGTTTTAACTTCCTTATCAATGGGAGATCAGTACGGTGTACTTGTTATGAACTCTTCTGCAAGAAGAAAAGCCAAAAAGAAGGAAACCCAGCTTAAGAAAAGTGTAGGTTAATCCGTTGTTATTACTGCCGTGCCTCCTTTTAATGTTGTCACTAACCCACACTTCATGTCCCATATCTTGGGACTAATACAAATTTCTTAAATGAATTGTTCAACATAGAAACTTGCAATTGCAATGCTTTCTATGTGAAGTGACTAGACAAGCGATGTAATCTTTTGTGTTAGGTTAACTAGTGGGGATGAGAACATGAGAACTCGAACGGTTTTTGACCATCTTCTTACTTGCTTCACTCCTTGACAGTTGAATCAACTGGCTGCACAAACAAGGTTGCTTCTGCTGGGTCTCAGGAGGAGAGTAGAGGGAAATGAAGAAGTAGATGCCCTTGCAAGGAAGAGCGCTGCTGCTCTGCTGAAAGGTCTTAATCCCTTTTGTAGTATAACCATGTAATGAGCCACTTAAAAAGGAAAACATGGTGAATGTTAGGAAACGATGAAATATTCACTCACTGGACACAAGCAATCTGTAAACCTCCTGGCAAGATTAGGAAGGAACGAAATAACATAATGTAACAAAGGAAGCAGGAAGAAAATTTGAATCATAATAGGATTCCTACCAATACATTTAGTAACAGACTAGTACAACTATCCACAGGAGGAAACGCTTTGGGATGTACCACTTAACCGCAAAAGAAATACAAATTGGGAAACACTGTGCTAAAGGTACAGAATGATACAATAGCTCCCGAAGGCACAATATTACAAATTATCCTAAATTTTACAACTACTTCTACATCTCCTAGGTTTGACACACATAAACTAAAAATAAAAAAGGAAAAACCTGGTTCACATATTAAATTTGTATTGTTATTGTGCTATAGTTTTCACAGTTAAATATTTAATTTGAATATAGAAGTTTGGGTTATTGTCATCCCAGTGAGGGAATAAATAAATTTTTGTCATTAACATTTTCCCTTTACATCCTTAGAAAAAAATTGTTGGAATAAACTCAAAAATTAGAGAACCTTTGGAAGAATTTTGAGAAATAGATGTAGATGTAGGTATGGTTTCAGGGTGTATTATACTGCGCCCTTTGAGAGCTATTGTATCTCCCGTGCTCTGCATAAAGCACATCGGTGAGTCCTATTTCACCAAGAAACTTGAGTAGTAGGCCTGGTTTCAATGGTTGAAGCTCTTCTATGGACACATTATACATCCCAAAACATTTACTCCTGCGGGCTAGTGTGGCTCCGCAGTTTGTTAGTAGATGTGTTGGTGTCTCTTCTGCCTCTTTCCAGAATCTGCATGTGCCGTCTTGGATTATTCCAATTTTCTTTAAGAGTCCATTTAACTTGCAGTGTCCTGTTAGGAATCCTGCTTCCCTTGACACATTCGGTAATTTCTTTTCTACCAAAATGGGTTAGAGGATTCTTGGATTGTCTATGAATTCCAAAATTCCCTCATTTTCTTTTTGTCCTTCTGTCTGAGATACTCGTTAATAGCGTGGGTTCCTATGCCACAGGAAAAAAAGAAAAAAAAAAAAAAAAGTAAATTAATTTTTGTCGCGTAAGAGTTAATGAACTGCGTTCAGCTGACATTGTGCTGATTGTGCATTGTGTATGTAAACCTTGGTGATTAATTTTTTATGTTTTTCTGTTATTAAATAAAATCATTCTCAAATTCAAGGGATCAAACGATCACAGTGGATGAGATGAGTTGTTTGTGCTGAGCAGGTTTTTTTAATAGTGCTGAAATTGATGCATTTCAAGAAGGTTGAGAACATGCACAGAAGCCATGTCAGAAACATAAATAAAGTTCTTTAAATAAGGTCTCCTAGGATCTGAAAATCACCTACATTTCCCTGTTAAAGAAAGGGAATGACAGAAAATATGCAGCGTTAAGATTTGTGGAAGTCAGCTAAAAGATACTTTTCTTGTGACGCTCCATAAATCTTCCTCCTTATTGTACTGCAATAAGAAAATTCCTTCAAACTGGCTAGGTAAAAATGATTTAATTAGTAATAGTATAGATAATTAGTAATAGTAATTTAGTAATAATGATTTTTTGATAAATACAAAACATGGGAAAAGAAGCAGATTAAAAAATGAAAAAAAAAATAACTTGAGAATTTAAATAAAGACAGTACAATAAAATAATTAAATACAAAAATATGCAAATAATAATATAATTATATACAAAAACTCACGGCCCGTTTAGTTCAGCTTTGGCCAGATAGATCCTCATTGCTGAAAACTTTTTTTTGTATTAATTTAAATTTAATAATGTATAGATTTCTTATGTACATGTATCTTTTATGTTATTTTGCATCTGATCTCACATAATGAATAAGCAGTTTTGTTTTCTAACTGAAATTATACATATTATTATGTAATTACTATTATTCATGGCTCGTACTAGACTGGCCTTTTATTTTTATATTTTCCTTATTTGCTGAGGGTACAATTCTCCCCACTTCTCATTTTCTAGAGATAAATAATTTTATAATTATTAATATTTTACACAACTATATTAGTTCATGAACCCATCTTTACATAAAATATTGCATCAAAGAAAATAGTTAGTTTTTCAATTATTTATTCATAATATGAACCCTTTATTTTTTCTATCTGTTGGACTATTTGAGATTACTCTTATAATATTCATAAAAAAAATTCATGTCATTCAAGATATAAAAAAATATGACTTTAGAGAATAATAGTAATAAATAAATAGCCAAGAAGGATAATAAGGATCAAAAGACTTTACAAATTGTTACCAAACATCCAATGTATTATAATGTCATCATCAGGGCCGCTTTCTTTATAAATGTACATTAAACATTTTTATGATATGACATTACTATTAATTTAATAATAATATATATGATCCTCCATCATTATCATCTTTATGCTGTGTCCCGATCATTCATACTTTTTTAATTGCATTAATAATACATACAATAAAATTTGAATAAAAAACACAATAATTACTATTTAGTACTACAGAATAAATCAACCAGTCCTAAGGCCTTAAAAGTTGAATTTTTAGTTTTGTTTAAATACTTTTCTTCTATGTTTTATAACTCGATAGTTTAAGGTGCCCCTTGTGCTGTTGATATTTAATTAATCAAGTTTCTTTCCATTTTACAACAAATGGAGGTTTATAAAATTTCTAAGTATGAATTTTTATTGATTTCTTGGGCCTTTCCTTCCTTTAAATTTCTTTAACTGAACTAAAAAAATTCAGAGTAAAGCTGATAACTCACATAAAATGGATTAAATAAACTAGAGTAAAACAATAATAAAGGCGTTTATATTTGAACATAGAAATACTTTTCTGTCAACACAATTTTAATTTTATATTTATTTTGTTTTTGTTTATAGATAGATTATTTGAAATTTTTTATTAACATTATACATAAAAGATTAGAAATCAGGCAAATTTGAAAAGAAGTAAAATGCTCAGTCCAACCCTGACATGGATATCTTATAGACATAAACATAGTAAAATGATAATATGTAATAGCAATAATAATAATAAAACATATAATAAAATCAACCAGTAGCAGGTGGGATTCCTTAGTCATTGTTCTGCAGTTGATCATGCTTGCCTGATTTTTCTGTGGAGTGAGAAAGCTAAGGTGCCAAAGAGAATGGAGTCATGAGTAGAACTTTTTAATAATAGAGCACACATGGTCATGCCATGTAAGCTTGAAGTTAAAAATAGCACCGAGATTTTTAACTTTAGGACAAAAATTAATAAGGGATGGGCAATCTATACTATTATTATTATTAATATTTTACACAACTATATTCGTTCATGAGATACCTTCCTTAGCCATTAAAATGCCCTCAAAAATTAATAATAATAATAAAGAAAGAATAATTAATTGAAAGAATTAACTTGAACCTTATTAAAAGCGTGTCCAACACATGCACAGAAGCTAACAGAGGACATTATACACCGAATTAATTGTTTAAAATAATGATCGTGTCGTGTAACTAAGAGAACATGAAAAATGAGTGGATCGAGGTCACAATAGCTCAAGTGGTAGAGCAGC